GCTCGCGGACAGCTTCGCGGCCACGGCGTCGTTGCCGACGAGCACAAAGGAGGCCGTCACCATCCTGTTGCACAAGAAGGGGGGACGGGATCAGCTTGAAAATTACAGACCGATCACGCTTCTAAGTTTCACCTACAAGGTGATTGCGCGGGTGGTGGCGGACAGAATGGAAAAAGTGCTGCACGAGGACATCTCCCCGGAGCAGTATGGCTTCTTACCGGGTTGAAGACTATCGGATGCAGTGGGTCTGGTCGCGGATGTCATCGAAGCCGCAAAGAATAAGGACCGGGACTGGTACCTCTTGCTGGTTGACTTCAGGGAAGCCTTCGACTCGGTCTTGAGGGACTTCCTGTTCACGGTGCTTGAGAGGGTGGGTTTCCCGAGCCGTTTTGTGGACTGGGTTCGGGGTCTGCACAAGGACACACGGACCAGTTTGTTACTCAACGGCTGGATGGGTGAAGCGGTTGACGTGGTGTCCGGGGTGCGTCAGGGCTGCCCCCTTGCGCCTTACCTTTTTTTATGCGCGGTGGAGCCGCTGGCTCAACAGGCGGCTGCCCGGAACCTGGGCCTCACGGGGGGCAATTAGCGGCTGGCGTATCTGGGGTACGCCGATGACACGACCCTGATCCTGCAGGGGGTGGAGGAGATCGCAGAAGCGGAGCAGCTGTTTTGAAGCAGAGTCGGGTTTAGCCACAAACAAAGGAAAGTCGTCCATCTTAGCTCCGGGGCGGAACCTGAACAAGCAGGCCTGCAGGACAGATGGGTTCAAGTGGGTGAAGGCAGATGAAGCGGAGCGACTCTTGGGTGTGTGGGTGACGCCGGCTGGTAGCTGCGCTCCCACCTGGGCGGAGGAAAAGATTCCGGGCTCGGCGCGTTCTCATACGCATCGAGGCAGCCTTTCGGCTGCATGTGAAGGTGTACACGCGAGCAATGGGGAAAAGGCTTAGCAGAAGCAGCGGTTTGAAGGGACACGGCAGGTCTCATGCGCTGGCAGAGCAAGAGGACAGCTTGCTTGGACGCATTCGATGTTCGGTGGTGATGGGTTGGAAATGGAGGCATAGTTTTGGCGCACTTTGGAGCCTCGCAAGGGGGGCCCTGCATCCGCCTTAGAAGCTTCACATGGGGCCACCACTGGAATTTGGCCTCTCACGCTCAGTTACGACTGACATATATCTCTCATACGCTTGTTTCTCCGGTATATTTGGAAATATTCATAATGTATTTGGTACGACTGACATATATCTCTGAGAACTGTTGAGTACGTGGCGTGGGATTGTCATGGGCACTGTTGGATTTTGCCCGTAGTTCAGGTAAAACGGGGACTGCTGCGTCGTCGTTGACGTGGCATTGTTGTAGACGAACTCGATCAGCGGCAGTTGCTGCTCCCATGTTGTCGGGTCGTTGCACGTGGCCCGAATCAACTGCTCCATGGTCTGGTTCATCCGCTCCGTTTGATCGTCGGTCTCGGGGTGGTACGACAAGCTGAACTGTAGCGTGGTCCCGAACTGCTCCCAAAGGTTCTTCCAGAAATTGCTGGTAAAATTCGTGTCGCGGTCACGAATTATCACGGCTGGTATCACGTGCAGTCGAACGACGGTCGTGATGAACAGGCGAGCAGTTTCTTCGGCTGAGATTGATTTCCTGCACGCAGCGAAGTGAGCCATGTTCGTCAGTCTGTCAATGGAGACGGGGAGTGTAGGGACCGGGAGCTAGGAAGCAGGGGTTATGATGTGAATGATGTGGCAAGAGTGATGTAAGCTGTCAGGGTATTGTACCTCTCTGGGAAGAGTATCATAACATGAGTTATTTCTCCGTAATCAGTGATTCTAACATTCCAGAACTCCAGATTTTCTAAAAAATCACACACATTCACCACCCCAAAAAACTTCACCCTGCTACACTAGAGAAAGATGGTCTCCCTAGAATTTCAAAATCACTGCCACTGCTTATGGTCGGCATGATGCATCTCAGCAGGCAGGGATGCCAGCTTGGAAAACCAAGCACTTCCAAAGCTGGCGCCACTGCTTCTTGCCTGTCAACTGCTTCTGTTGAGCGTGTTGCAGGCCAGCAGGCGCCGGCACCATTGCCACATTGCAGAGCTAGCAGCTATTGGCGCCGACGTGGCTGTTGGAATCTGCCCCAGTTGTTCCGCTGCTATGGCTCCATGTTTGCACGCCAGGCGACACACCACGCCAAGCACCACTCCGCACCACACCACACCACTATGGCACACACCAGACCAGACAACCAACACCACGCCATCAGACCACACCACACCACACCACACCGCAACGACACTCACTAAAGCAGATCACACCACCACGCCATCAGACCACACCACACCACACCACCACCGCACACACCAGACCACCACACTACCACGTCATGCACTACATCTCACCACACCAAACCATACCTCATTACACCACCACCACAACGCCATGCACCACACCTCACCGCACCGCCGTTTGTATCGCAGCCTATGCAACCAATGGCGCAACGGTCTTGGCAACCTCTGCGGCCGTCTTAGCAGTAGTGATGATCTGTTTCTGCAGCTCCTTATCTGTCGCCACTCTCACGGCCGTTTTTTTAATGTCTCGGACCCCTGCTTGACACCCTTCCCAATGTGCTGTCCGACGGCGTTGGCCTTGTTCTTGACATCATTCGCAGCGGCGTTGACCTTGTTCCTGGCGTTGTTCGCAGCGGCGTTGACCTTGTTCTTGACATCATTCGTAGCGGCGTTGACCTTGTTCCTGGCGTTGTTCGCAGCGGCGTGGGCCTTGTTCCTGGCGTCATTCGCAGCGGCGTTGACCTTGTTTTTGACGTCATTCGCAGCGTTGTTGATCTTGTTCCCTACGTTCTGGAACCTGTTCTTAAAATCATTCCATCCAAAAAGCTCTCTCCGCGAATCAACCGCGTCACCGCCCATCATAGCCCCCACTTGCTCCTCCTCTCCGCCGCTGCTCGCATAGTACCCGCCCATGTCCAGACTCGCCGGATCTGCAGACGAATCAGCCGCGTGTTCCTGCAGAACGAGAAACGGAACTCGCGCCGGCGGCATTGAGAAGCGCCAGCTTTCGCGGGGAAGAAGCTGCGTGCAGTGAGGACAGGCACGCGAAGGTCAGGGCGAGGACGAAAGCGACGCGAAGAAGAGCACCCATGGCTGCGTTCGAATGTTCGAAAAACGGGACACTGACGATTACAACTTGAGAATTTACTGAGGCTGGCTAGTCTCGAAATACACTTGAAGTTGCGGAGTGTGGGCTGATTAACGAATAAATCTGACGGCTTAAATAGAAGCGACGCTGCAACGTCTACGGGGTAGCGGCGCCAGCTCGTCGCTTACAGTTATTGTACGCAGCATGGCTGGGCGCGACGTGAATTGGCCTCGCGTCGAGTGCGCCGCGCATCGGATGAGATGACCGCCGCGGGTGGCGGATCGGCGGTCCATGGGTAGCTCAAAACCTACTCAGTCTCTGTTCGCCGCAAATTTCGGAGAATTATATCGCGCCGCCAATAAAGTTTGCTGGTACGCGGCTCCTTTGGCGTACATCTCTAAGCGTTAGCAGTAATCGCGCTTTGACTACGGTAATTGCATATCAAATGACCACTTCAGGGCTTTTTGACTGGGCATATTTGCTTGAGTAGGGTATTTCTGTCGAATGCGGTGATGGCAGTGCCAGCAGTAAAATCTGCAACTAGGGCTTCGAAGGATGTCGCGATTTGGAGTTAGGGGGTGGGGATGGTTGGTGCACTGTGCAGGTGTGGTGTTTGCGGGTGCAATTATTGGTAAGCCCGCGTCGCACATTCAACATCCATCTTGCCGCAAAATGCGGCGGCAACAGAACTTGCGTCGTCGCAAAGAGGTCATCCATTTTTACTAACATAACAAAGTACCCCTAACCTGATTATAACATTGTCTTGTCAAGCCTAAACAGTTACAAGGTAAACTCAAAGGTACACAAATAAGGAATGTTATACAGATACAAAAAGTATAGCTAGGTAGCAGAAAGAGTGAAATTGGGGGTGCTGAGAGGAGGGTGAGAGCACATAAAGATGGTAAACAAAAATATATTATTCTGAAAGCATCCGCCCACTTTCTCCCCATCCCCGTGCTTTCTCTTCATTTTTCACTACCCTGATCTTCAGTTTGCTGGGAAACAGGAAACGAGCCCCATTTCTCCATGGAGAGAGGAGGTAAAGAATGTGAGTGGTTGAGGGTTTGGGTAGGAATTACTAGTATCCCTAGGGACAGAGAGTGCAGGCAGCCAGTTTGTGCAGAGAAGCATACGGTATAAGAGGAGTGGATGGCCGAAGTAAAGATGCAGTTTGTGAGTTTGGAATAGAAGGCAATGTTTGAACGGGCGGGAGCCCCCTTTTTTTTTTTTTTTTTTTTTTTCTGAGGAGCATGAGTACAGGCATCTACCCTTGCTCTCTACCATAAATCCCACACACATGGATTAACCACCACACGCACACATGCACTTCCCAACTTCTTCATACACATGCACCATCCCAAGAAACTCTTTCCTGCTACACTAGAGAAATGATACGAAAATGGGCGGTGAATGTTTCAGCTAGCAGTCACTGCTGGCGTCGCTGCTGCCGCTTGCAGATCAACTGCTTCTGTTAGAATGATGTCGGTCAGTAGGCGCCAGCATCACCGCCACACAACAAGGCTAGCACTGGCAGCTAGTGCCATCACGGCAGCAGTTACACTCTGCCCCAGATGCTCCGCTATTGCTGCATGCTCACACCCCAGGCGTCACACCGCCACGGCCACACAAGGCCACGCAAGGCCATGCAAGGTGACGAATCGCATCACACCACGCCACCATGGCACACACCAGACCAGACCTCTCCACCACGCCATGCACCACATCTCACCACTCCACCACATCACGCGACACACCACACCACCACACCTCATCACACCCCACACAGCGCCACCAAACCACAACCCGCGCCACGCACCACACCACACCATGCTTCGTCGCTGTTTACGGCTGTGGCTGCCCCAACACTGGCAGGTGCGCTACTCCCGCGGCCCCCGCGCCAAAGCTCCCAATCTCCTCCATCGTCGCGGCGTGTGCGTGGCGCGCAATCGTTCCGGCTCCCGCCATCAGTCCCCCCGCTACTCCGCCAACGACGAGCCCCGCAGCCGTATTCGCTATCACTTCATGCCCATGCTTAATCACCGCTTTGTGCGCGATCCTCCCCGCGCTGCGCGTCAAGTCCGACGCGCTCTTCGTCAGAGTCTTACCCGGGTTGTTTGCCACATAGTCGGCCGCGTCTCTGGCGGCCTCCGCGCTGTTTTGGACTCCCTCCGTGAAGCTGTTGGAGGCGCTGATGGCCTTGTTTCGGGCGGTCTCGTAACTGTTTTTGACACCATTCGTGAACGAGTTCCCTGCGTTCGTGAAGCTGTTACTGAGTCCCTTCGACCAGCCGGTGAAATATCCTCCTCCTGACTTTGAATCAGCCACGGGGTCAGCCACGTGGCTAGCCGCGCGGTTACCCACGCGGTCATTCGTGGTAGCCCCCATCGACCAGTGGGAGCCCTCTTCCTCCTTCTCCTCCCCGCCGCCGCGCGCCTTGTCCAGTTTCACCGAATTTGCAGACGAGTCAGCCCCTCCCCCCAAGTGGGAGGGAAATTCCTCCTCCTCCTCCTCCAAGCCGCGCGCCTTGTCCAGGTTCACCGAATTTGCAGCAGTCGCCGCGGCGTAACGCTCCGCCAGTCTGCGGGGGGGCCGCAGAGCCGCATTGGCGTCGATCTCGGGGGCACCGGGACGGGCCGACGCTGCCGCCGCGTGGAGGGAGGACAGGCATGCGAAGGTTAGCGCGGCGAGGACGAAAGCGACGCGTAGACTCTTCATTGGGGCACCCATTGCTGCGGCCGCGTCGTATGTTCTGGACAGAAATGGGATGGACGGTGAGATCAATGGGTGATAAGCCAAGCTCGATCGACAGCTCGTCGGTTGGCTGTTACTAGTCACTAGTGCTCGGGGAGTGTGGAGTGATGACTGAACTGAGTATTAGTTACTGGACAAACGGTTTAAAAAGGCAGCAACGCTGCTAACCGCCCGAGGCGGCTTGTCTGTTCACTACGGCTCGTCTAGCCACTCTTGACACTACCAGTTTTGCTCTCACACTTCGACAATAATTCATGGTACAATGGCTGAAAAGGGGTTCTGCCAATGCCTGGGCAATTTGCCCATGTCGCCTGCGCCTAGTGAGCTAGGAGTGGACATACAGGGTGCGCTGAAAATTATCGCGCACTGACTGGAGCAGTGTGGGCGGGAACAATACGGGTGGGGTGGGGTGAACAGGTGTGTGTAGGTGTGGTGCTGTTGAGCCGCGCAATGTTGGCAGCATCATGTCACACATTCGACAAGACCTCTCGCCGCATCATGCGGCGACAGCGGAACTTGCGGGGTTCAATAATTGCAACTCGCCAATAATTGCTGAACACAATAATGACAAGAAACGTTATCCACGAACTCGGATTATCCACTGTTATGTGTATTGCATCAATAAACCTTCTGCCGTATATACATAGAAACCTCAAATCTTCATTTTCGTATTAGGTTCATGGAAGTTTAGCCAGACACCTCTGCCAACCTAACCTCTGTAAACTGCTCCTAGCCTTGGAATATTTATCTGCCGCTCAAAAGTCCTTTCCTCATGCTACACTATGTCAGCCATTCTCGCCTTCTGCAATCAAATAATCAATGTCTCCTGTACCCTTTCCCTCAGCCGTCCCCAGTGCTCTCTTAGCCACGCTGCTGAGTCAGCCACCGTTGTTTCATACGGGCGAGGGGTGAGGGTTGAGAGCATACTCTCACTCGTGTCTATCTCACTTCCCTATACATAGTCCTTCAGCTCTCCCCAGTGCTCTCTCAGCCATGCCACTGTGTCAGCCACTGTCATTCCATATGGCCGAGGGGTGAGAGTTGAAAGTTAGGTCCTGCCTATCTCTGTTCTTCTATGCTTAGTCCCTCAACTCTTTCCTGTGCTCTCTCAGCCACGCCACTGTGTCAGCCACTGTTGTCTCGTATGGCCGCGAGGTAAGGGTTGAAAGGTTGATCCTGTCTATCTCTGTCTCCTATAATCAATCCCTCAACCCTTTCCTGTGCTCTCTCAGCCACGCCACTGTGTCAGCCACTGTTGTCTCGTACGGCCGAGGGGTGAACCCAAGCTCCTTCTCTGCTTTGCTCCAGTCAATGTACCTGATGGTGCAATTGGGGGGGGTGGGGGGGGTGATGGTGGTGCAATGGCAGTGATGGTGGTGTGATGTGGTTGGCAACAGGAGGGAACAAGTTTAGGACGCGGCACCTCTAGGGAGGAAGCCACAATCGATCCTGAGTGGGGATCGATCCTGGCTTGTACAGTGAAATCGCGACATCGCCAACAGGCTGGTATCCGGTTTCGCCCCACCTCGCAAGTGTACAGTAAATTGGTGCCCAAAATGGTGGCACCTCTGGCTCGCACGATCGATGTGCCAGCGCCCACACATCGATCGTGTAATTGTGGAGATCGGGCAACTTTGCCCCATATATTTTCGATCCTGTCACCTGTGGCTCGGTGTGTCCAGGCGATTGCAAATCTGCAGTGTGGACACATCGGTGTGCCGATCGATGTGCCTAAACCGGTGTGAGGCCCCCATCCCCCCCCCGATCCCCCCCCGATCCCCCCCCGATCCTCCCGATCCCCCCCCGATCCTGACAATTTCCCCAGAGGTGCCGCGTCCTTAGCATTCAGGTGAGGGGCGAACCCAAGCTCCTTCTCTGCCTTGCTCCAGTCAAAGTATCTGACATTGTAGAGATGATGGTAGTGGTGGTGGTGATGTGATGACAATGGTGGTGATGTGATGACAATGGTGGTGATGTGATGACAATGGTGGTGATGTGATGACAATGGTGGTGATGTGATGACAATGGTGGTGATGTGATGACAATGGTGGTGATGTGATGACAATGGTGGTGATGTGATGACAATGGTGGTAATGTGATGATAATGGTGGTAATGTGATGTGGTTACAAACAGGAGGGAAAACGATGAATCCAAGCTGCTTCACTACTTGGTCAATGCGACTGAGGGTGTGGTGATGATGACGTTGGGGGAAGAAGGGTGGTGATATGGAGGTATGGGGGAGGGAGAGGGGGTTGAGACGGTACTACACCTGCATATGCGCAAACCGACACTCAGGCACATCCGCACATTGCAGAGCATCACACACTTACACTCACTCTCTCACTCACACACACGGACACTCAAGCTCTCACTCACAATCAGACTCTCACTTGTCACTCACACACTCGCTCTGTCACTCCCTCACTCACCAGTAAACCTGTGCCATTTCAACGACAACAGGGTCAAGCGAGGGGTCCTTCCGGCCAATCAGAGGCAGGAGTTTCGACGCAGTGGCGGCCAATACCCATGCGACACGTGGCGGCACAGACAGCCATGGCGGCGCCACATCAGCGCAGCGTGCGATGAGGTGGAAGTAATCGGATAAGGTCATGTTGACGGCTCCGAGAAGGTACGTGGCGCTGGGAGGGGTGGATTGCATGGCAGCGATGAACGCAGAGGCCTGCACCCAAACGCATGGGGTGGGAAAGGTGTGGAACAAACATGGAGGAACACTTTTATACGCTTTTCCCACTGGGTCAGAGGAAGATTAACTTATATAGAGGCATGCTGAGGTTTTGATAAAAGTGGCAACAGGAGGAACGCATTGCATGGCAGCCATGGAAGCAGAGGGGCCCCAGCAAAGGTGCTGCTGGTGGGGAACTTGGGATTTGGCCCACGGACCAAGTCCCAACGTATGGGAACACATACCACGTCCCGCACGTCGACGAATGAAAGGCCGCCACGTGGCACAAAGGGGATGCGTCGCTCCATGATGTCCAGCACTGTGCGGCACGAGCTGAGGCGGTAGTCGCCTGGTGGAGGGGATGGGATGGGGTGTGGTGCATGCAGAGGGTAGAGGGGGGAAGGGGGTTGGGGCGTAGGGAAGGCATGCACTCCTCCCTCCATGATGTCTAGTACTGTGCGGCACGAGCTGAGGCGGTAGTCGCCTGGTGGGGGGGATGGGATGAGTGTGGGATTGACAGGGAGAGAGGGGTGTGCGTATGGAAGGGGCAACCATCGATCCATGATGTCCAGCACTGTGCGGCACGAGCTGAGGCGGTAGTCGCCTGGTGGGGGGGAATGTATGTGGGGTGGGTGTGGGGTGTGGGCAAGGGAAGGCACGCACTCATCGCTCTCCTGGCGTCCTGTGGGGATGCGGCGCTCCATGATGTCTAGCACTGTGCGGCACGAGCTGAGGCGGTAGTCACCTGGTGAGTGGGGTGTTCACATGCAGGGAGGAGGGGGGAGGTGGTTGTAAACTGGGGGGTCCTGTGGGGATGCGGCGCTCCATGATGTCTAGCACCGTGCGGCACGAGCTGAGACGGTAGTCGCTTGGTTGGTGGGGAGTGGTGTGTGTGTGTGTGTGTGGGTGGGTGGTGTATAGCAGGTGAGAGACATGCAGCACGAGTTGATACTCACCCAGACGTTGAAGGCCTATACTTAACCCACGAGGGCGTCACTTTTGAGAATTAAAAAAAAAGGAATGAGTGTTGGAGGCATGCACACCATCTCAAGGCCATTTATTCCATGCCGTGCCATGCCATGCCATCCCATGCCATCCCATGCCATCCCATGCCATGCCATGCCATGCCATCTCATGCCATCCCATGACATTCCAAACCATGCCATGACATTCCATACCATGCCATAACATTCCATGCCATGCCCCTCCGTGACTTGACTTTAGGCCTTATTCGCTGACTCACCTGGCCCCAGGATGAGTGTTGGTCGCATGCACACCAGCTCCATGCCATGCTGCTCCCCATACCCCCTCGCCCTCTCCTCTGCCTCGATCTTCGCCCGGTAGTACGGCCACCCCCCCACCACCTCCCTCGCTTTAAATCACACTCAAACAGAGTTCAACCTCCCCCTTCCCATCCTCCTCTTCCACGTCTCGGGTACCCAGTCATACAAACATATTTTCTCTTCACTCGACTCGTGCGCAAGCACGGGGGTGCCTTCTAGGTTTCTCAACCCACCTGGTCCCAGAATGAGTGTTGGTCGCATACAGACAAGCTCCAGCCCATGCTGCTCCGCATACCCCCTCGCCCTCTCCTCTGCCTCGATCTTTGCCCGGTAGTACGGCCACCCCCCCACCACCTCCCTTGCATACGGCGAGACGAGAAGGTAGTCTCAAACCCACCTGGCCCCAGAATGAGCGTGGGTCGCATGCACACTAGCTCCAACCCATGCCAATCCATAGCATATATCCTCGCCGCCCTATCAGAGGTTGAAACACACACCTGGTCCGAGAATGAGAGTGGGTCGCATACAAACCAGCTCCAAGCAAAGCTGCTCCGCATAACCCCCCCATCGTGTCAAGCCCCATTGCATCAACTGGTAGAACTCAAAGCTGTTTTCTCCATCTCATCTCCACACACCTGGTCCCAGAATGAGAGTGGGTCGCATGCACACCGGCTCCAATCCATGCCATGCCATGCCATGCGTATCCATAACTTGTAGCCTTACCCTCTCAGAGGTTGAAACACCCACCTGGTCCCAGAATGAGAGTCGGTCGCATGCACACCAGCTCCAACCCATGCTGCTCCGCATACCCCCTCGCCCTCTCCTCTGCCTCTATCTTCGCCCGGTAATACGGCCACCCCCCCACCACCTCCCTCGCGTACGGCGAATCGTCACTCGCCACCTGTCCGGGGTCATTAAAAGCACCCACAGTCCCTGACGTGGATGCATAGACTATGCGCTTTACCCCGGCTTTAAGAGCTGCTTCGAGCACGGTTAACGTGCCGTTGACGGTGGTTTGGTCGAGGGAGGAGTGCTGTGCGGTGGAGTTCGGCTGAGGGGGTGACGTGGGGGTGAGGGGTGGTTGAGGTTGTGGTGGTGGTGCTGGTTCTGATGTGGCGGCGCGTGAGTGGATGACGACTCCTGCCAGGTGGAAGAGACCAGAGGTTCCTTGGAGAAGAGAGTCGAGTGAGGAGGGATCGGAGAGAGATCCTATCACCACCTGAGGGATAGGGGTTGGTATGAGGGGAGGGAAGGAAAAGAGAGGCAGGCGTGGTGAGTGGATGACGACTCCTGCCTTGGAGACGCCTCAAAACTGGATGATGACTATTGCCAGATGGAAGAGAGACCAGACGTGCCTTGGAGGAGGGCGTCGAGGGCAGAGGGGGTCTGAGAGACATCCTATGACCACTTGAGAGACAGGGTTAGCAAGGGAGGGAGAGAAGCAGCAGCGCGCAGGGCACTGCACTGTGGGTGGGTGGAAGAGCGCAGGGCACTGCACTGTGGGTGGGTGGAAGAGGCGAGAGGTGCGTTGGAGGAGAAAGTCGAGGGAGCAGGGGTCTGAGAGAGCTCGGATGAATGTTTGAGACGTCTCAGAGATCCGATGCCCACCTGGGGATAGATAGGCAGGCGTGGTGTGTGAGTGCAATGGACGAGGCCGGAGGTGTGCTGGATAAGGCATTGAGGGAGGAGGGGTCTGAAAAGGGGCCGTTGACCACCTGGGGCAAGAATTGTGAGGGAGTCAGCAAGGGAAGGAGGGATGGAGGGAGGGAGGGAGGAAGGGAGGGAGGGAGGGATGGAGGGAGGGAGGGAGGGAGGGAGGGAGGGAGGGAGGGAGGGAGGGAGGGAGGGAGGGAGGGAGGGAGGGAGGGAGGGAGGGAGGGAGGGAGGGAGGTAGGGAGGGAGGTAGGGAGGGAGGGAGGTAGGGAGGGAGGGATGGGGGGAGGGAGGGAGGGAGGGAGGGAGGGAGGGAGGGAGGGAGGGAGGGAGGGAGGGAGGGAGGGAGGGAGGGAGGGAGGGAGGGATGGAGGGAGGGAGGAAGGGCGGTGCCAATAGCATGCATGATACATGCTAGGATCGGAAGAGTTTTGACTGCTGCAGGGCGGCAGGCTACCGTGGGCTGTCTGTCTGTCTGGTGACATGTGAGGCGACTTTAGGTGTGCCTTGTGCCACGCGCCTCTACCACATGTCAGTATGAATGTGCCGCTTGCACTGTAACAACTTGACTGTTGCGTCGACTCAAAAGACACCTTGTGCTTCGCGAGAAGAGAATCAAATGTGTCTGCACTGCAGAGGCACCTGGTGACTGAAGGAATGACTTTGTATTTGCTGCACCCATTTTCAGCCAGCAAGACCCGACTTTGCTATTCACTAACTAATGCCAGCGTGCACCAATGCTGATTAGCGATTTACATATAATCTTCCTCCATTTTCACCAAGTGCCTTATCCATTATGTACAGCCTTTACTCGGTTTTAAACAGAGTATACTTTGCTACTGTCAATCTCTTGCTAAAAGATTCTCTCCAGACTGCAGCTCGCCTGAAACGCTCCTATGGCTAATCTTCCTCCATTTTCACCAAGTGCCTAATCCATTCTGTACAGCCCTGCTAGTTTGTATCAGGCTGCGAATAATGACGTGGACGAAATCGGCAGGGCAGTGGGGTGCTGCGCTGTCTGAGAGGCGAGGCACCTAGTGAATTTGGGGAATGAGTTGCGGGTTGAATTCAAACCTACCTGAATGTGTGGATGGGGAGGTAGGCTGTTGGGTTGCCTGAAGAGGCACCTGGTGACGGTTGAGTCTAGTCTCTCTCATATTGTGTCAAGGTGACGTTTTGAGTCGAATTAGAATCTACCTGAATGCGGGGGTGGGGCGGTAGGCTGTTGGGTTATGGGCAGAGGCACCTGGTGACGGTTGAGTCTACTCTCTCTCAAGTTGTGTCAAGGCGACCTTTTGAGTCGAATTAGAATCTACCTGAATGCGGGGGTGGGGCGGTAGGCTGTTGGGTTATGGGCAGAGGCACCTGGTGACGGTTGAGTCTACTCTCTCTCAAGTTGTGTCAAGGCGACCTTTTGAGTCGAATTAGAATCTACCTGAATGCGGGGGTGGGGCGGCAGGCTGTTGGGTTGTCTGCAGAGGCACCTGACTGTGTGGCCCGCCGCTAAAAGCTGCTGCAGGAGGTGCGAGCCCAGGAATCTGTAGGGATGAGGTGTGGATGGGTGTAGATGGGTGTAGATGAGGGTTGATGGGTGTTGTTTAGTGTAGATGGGCAAAGAGAGGTGTAGATGGGTGCTGATGCTTTGCATTCGGGAACTGGCATCAGAGTGTACCCAGAAGCAATGCCACAAGCTGTGAGCACCTGAATGACAGCCACTCTTTGAAACTCAGCATTGTACGCGATATAAGGTCAGCACAACACACACCGCTCTTCCAGTCGTACCCTGTAGCGCCAGTCACGGCGAACACCTGACCGTCAGCCGCCGCGACGCCGCCAGTCGCGTCGCTCGCGGCGGTTTTCACGGGCGTACCATCCCCGCGCATCGCGCTAGCACCGTTAGCGCCGGTACTATTACATCCGGTCGTCGAAATAGTTTCCTGGTTGATAGTCGCGCTAAGAGCTGCCCCGTTATTGAACGATGTATTGCCACCCACGTTCCTGGTGCTATTCCAGTAATTTTGTCTCGAACCAGCGCGGACGCTACATTTCCGGCTGTTACTTAGACCTGCGTTATTAGAAGCTGCTTTTCTGGCATTCTTGCGGGTCGATGGTCCTGGCGTGTTTTGCGGCGACGTAGAGCTTACACTACGAGCGTTATTTGTGGTTTGCGAATGCAGCTGATTGGCCGGTACGAATGGAGTCCCGCGCCGTGAGATACGGTGACTGTAGCTGATGGTGCTACAATCGAGGGGAACATTGCGGGGAGAGGGCAGCTGTGAGCACTGAAATGTGCTACTAGCGGGAACCATGGGAGCTAGGACTGTGCTACAATAGCGGGGAAAAATGGGACTGCCCAACCACGCAAGTGACTAAATCGAAGCTTGCGCTCGATGGGACAGCATTACAAGGGCCACGGACATTATGCCTATGTCGAGGCATATCGGCGGGGTGTGAGGAGAATGGGTCGATATTGGGGTGTGCTGCATACTTCCTATTTATGTAACACGGTTTTGTTTTCTGTAAGGATCTGTCTTACTGTATTACTGGGTCACACTTTACGCATACAAATCCAATCTCGGAAGATCAGGCTCGGCCCGAAGGTCTCGCCTCCCCAACGTAACCCGCGTCGCCTTCGGGCTCGACAAACCCGAACCAGCACCCAACCTCACTATCCCGAGGTTCCCGCCTAGCTAGGCTCGCTATATCTTTGCTAGACTTCGTCATTTGCTCATTTGCTCAATCAGTACAAGACATTAGGTATTTTTGCTGTGATTCGCGTCGCGTCGCGTTAGGTTTTCTTGATTAAGGACATAGCTGACACACTGATTGCGGTTCTTATCGCAACCTACCTAAACGCCGTCGACGTTCTTCACTCTGCCTTGGAAATACCGCGTGCTCACCTTTGATCTCTGGTTCCCGGCAGTGTGGTTTCGCCTGTCAATTCCGGCAATAGTGCTCACTATCTCACGGCAATTTCTGGGAGAATTCTGGACAGTCGATTGGCTATTTCACGACAGCCCGTCTAGCTCGCCTCGCCTGTCCATTTCGCCCGTTTCGCCCGTCTGCCCGTCTCACCCGTCTCGCCCGTCTCGGCCGTTTCGCCCATCTCGCTCGTTTCGCCTTCGTCCGCCTCGCCCGCCATGCCGCAGCGGCACTCGCGCAACTGCAACGACCGCGCGCACTTCACGTACGAGGAGCGGCGCAAGCTAGGGTTCGGCACGCAGAAGGAGCGGCTCGGCAAGGACTCGATCAAGCCGTTCGACGCGTGCGCGCTGTGCCTGCAAGAGGCCGTCGAGCCGCTGAGCTGTCGCAGCGGACACGTGTTCTGCAAAGAATGCATCTACACTTGTCTTCTGACGCAAAAGAAGGACATCAAACGGTACGTATTTTGGCGTGCTTTTAGTCTACTCAAAGTACACCTATTGAGTCAACTTAAAACACAGCTGTCGCAGCGGACATGTGTTCTGCAAAGCGTGCGTCTACACCTGCTTGCTCACCCAAAAGAAGGACATCAAACGGTACGTTTTAGATTGGATCCGATAGGAAGGGTACCAGAGATAGGACGCAGAGGGAGCGGTGCAAACTAGGGTTTGCAGGTGAGCTTTGAGGATTCTCAAAACTCACCTGCAGAAGGAGCGGTACTGAACAGACGTGTTGGCATGTGATTTTATCGAAGAATGAGTGTTTTTAGCAAGCGGCTGGGCATGGAGTGGCGGACGCTAGGGTTTCGCACGCAGAAGGTGCGGCTTGGGCAAGGATACAATACGATCGGGAGTGGTGACACGTGGCCCTCTCTCCTGTTGTCTCGCCTTCTCCACCCCCCCACATCTCAAGCCTTTTCCACAGTTTCGAACGCCCCCTTTCCCCCCTCAGCGTAACCCTCAACTGCTTCCCAGATTTTCAGTCCACTCAAAACAGCAGCTAGAGCTCGCGACTGCTTCTCAGTCCCAGACCCCTCTCCTCTCTCCGCTCCCCCATCCCCCATCCCCCATCCCCCATCCCCCATCCCCCATCCCCCATCCCCCATCCCCTTATCCCCCCATCCCCCCGTCCGTTCGCCATCCCTCCATCATCCCCCATCCCCCCATCCCCCCATCCCCCCATCCCCCGTGCGTCCCCCCTCCCGTTCCCTATCCCCCCACCCTGTCTCCCGCTTTCCCTGAACACACAGCAGGCGGGAAGCACGAGAGGCTCAGCAGTGTCAGTCAGGCACGTGAAGAGCTGACCGCCGTTCCATTTCCCCAGCTCCTTCCCTCATTCTCTCCTCTCTCCCTCTTTCACCCTTCTCAACCCCACTCGCTCGCTACACAGCAAGCGGGCAGCATGGGAGGCGCAGCAGCGGCAGGAGGAGGACGAGGACAGCGAGCGTGCAGCAGCGGAGAGAGCAAGAGAGCTCGATGCTTTCGACCGGCAGAACCACGCGGCTCTGCCCCCCACTGCTGGTAACGGTGCTGCTGCCAATGCTGCTGCTGCTGCTGCTGGTGGTGGTGCTGGTGCTTCTGGTGCCACTGGTGCTAGTGGCCCATCCTCCGTAAAACGCCTCCGTGCCTCTGCTGCTACTGACCCTGCTGGTGCTAGCTCTGGCGCCATTGTTGCTGCCGGCGCTGCTGCAACTCCCGCTGCTGGGAGCGAAACACCCTCACTTGCTGGAGGAGGAGGAGGATTAGCAAGTTCGGGCAGTGGGAGCGGGCGGATGAATTTCCAAGGAGCGAATTCCGTGAAAACAACAGCATTCGAGGAAGAGGCGGTGAGAACGATGCGAGCCTATTGGATGCCTTCGGCCACGCCTGACGCTCCCAAGAAAGTTGATCCGCCTCCCACTGACACCACGTGTCCGGAAGGCTGCGGGAAGCTTCGTCTCAAGGACCTTTTCCCGATTGTTTTCACGTCACTGCCGCCGCCGGACCAGCCGCTTGGCTTTGGTGGAGGCTCGGGCGGAGGTTCGGGAGGAGGTTCGGCGAAGCAGGTGACGACGTCAGCTGCGGTGAGCAACGGTGGAGCGCGGTACATGTGCCCTGCGTGTTCCACCACCCTCACTAATGCGTCGAAACTCTCGGCTATAGTTGCATGCGGGCACGTGCTGTGCCGTCGGTGCATTGAGAAATTCGTTTCTGCTGACGGGGCTTGCACCGTCTGTGGGACAGCCGTGGAGGGGGGTGGTACTGCTGGGAGCGGAGGGAAAGGAGGGGAGAGGAGGGGGTTGGTGGAGCTGGCGTGTGGAGGGACGGGGTATGCGGGGCATGGGGATGGGCTGGTGGCAAAGGCGTTCAAGCCGCTGGGGAGTGGGCCTGCTGCTGCCCCTCCTATCAAACCCACACGCCTGCTCTGATCTGACTGGAGGGGTTGGTGGGAGCTGGCGTGTGGAGGGACAGCTATTGAGTCAACGCAGAGGGAATAGAGGGAAAGGAGGGGAGAGGAGGGGGGTGGTGGGTGGGAGTTGGCGTGTGGAGGAACGGGGTATGCGGGGCATGGGGATGGGCCGGTGGCGAAGGCATTCAAGCCGCTGGGGAGTGGGCCTGCTGCTGCTCCTCCCATCAAACCCACACGGCTGCTCTGATTGGCCAATGGCCAGGCTTATACTTCACGCTTGGGGATTACAGCTGATTTGTGAACCAAAGTGGGTTCCTTTGCTGGTGATGCTGAATGGTTGGGATGGGGGGAGGGAAAGCGGTTCGTTGTGGGGGGGGGTTGTCGAGGATAGGCTGTGGCTGTGCTCTTTTTTCAGCACGCTGTGAACTGGCGGTGGAGAGAGTGGTATGATGAGATCTTTTGATCACTCTGCTGTTTGGTACCCCCGAACCATCGGTTTCGCACCCATGTTGTACCCATCTGATTTGACTGACGTTTTAAACTTTCTACGGGCTTACTAGTGCCACTTCAGCGGTTTGGCCTGGCCTGGTGGGGTCCTCTTTCTGCTCAGTTGATAAAGGGGGCAAGATTTTATTTCTGTGTGACTGTATGCAGAAGCACTCTCTCATCACTATGAAAAGGCACAACCACCAGCCAGCTACTGGCTGAAGCAGCAACTCCTTTTCTATTTTTTAAGCCAAGAGAACTGGCTTTTCAAACCCAAACAACCAGGTTCTTCTGATGGGATAGAAAAGTGGTAACAGGCTAGATAAGATTAATAATAGCTGTACAATTAATTACATTAGTGTCAAAAATGTGATGCTGCTCTACTGGCCTCCCCAATGCTTGGGGTTGCTGGCCAGTTACTGGTACTAAAACGAAGCTGCAGAAACGAGGCTCTCCTCTCCAGCGGCACTGGCGCTGATACTTTGTCCCTGTACAAGCCACTCCGGTATAGGCTTCCGCAGGTAACCTCTAGCTCTAATATCGGCTAAAACCCTTCGCAGATTGAGGACGCTCCACGCGAAGGGAAATCTGATGGTTATGTTAGGGTTTCCAGGCGTCTGCGACAGTTCGTACGCGTTTGCGACAGACTCTAGGCGTCAACGACGGGTCGCAGCGCGAGGACAACGATCCAATCAGCAGCGGCGGGGCACAGCACCGACTTGGGCCACTGGAACGACTGCTTCTGCTCCGCCGAGACGTCGCGCTGACGCTTGCGATCTGCCACGTCATCGTCATCATCAGACCGCTTGCGCTTGGATGATTCGCTCCCCGCTGCTGCTGCTGGTACAATCGAATCACAATCGGAATCGGAATCGAGGCCGTAGTCGAACGGGGAGGTCGGGGAACGCGGAGTTGCGCAAACCAGCGCCGCTTTCCGCGCGACTTCCTCTCCCTCACCCCCCTCCGCAACCTCCGCGAGGAACGGATGCGCCAGCAACTCCGCCGCAGTCCACCGCTCCGCGGGGTTCCTCCGCAGGCAGCACTCAATAAACCCGCGCACCGCCGCCGGAACCTCCGCCGCAATTCGCGGCATCGCATCCGTGCACGAAACCGCGTAAAGCACGGAGAACATGCCACCTGTCACGTCGGACCACGCGGGACGACCGGTCGCCATCTCGAGAACAGTGCATCCGAGGGACCAGATGTCAACGGCGGGGGTCTGCTGCTCCCCGCGCCCCACCTCCGGCGCCATCCAGTTCGCCGTTCCGCGCAGCCCGTGGCTTGCGCCGGTGGCGGCGGCGGCGGCGGCGGACCAACCCGCGACTTCGCGCGCCGCAATGGTGGTGGCGGCTGCGGCGGCGGGGGAGGTGCTGCTGACACGGAAGGCGGCGCCGAAGTCGGCGATTTTGACGTGGCCGTCGCTGGTGAGGAGCAGATTTAGGCTCTTAATGTCTCCGTGAACGACGCTTTGCTCGTGGAGATAGCAGAGCCCCTTAACGACGTCCTTAGTGAACTTTTTCAGAGTCAACGTATCGAGCCCGCGGCAGCGCCCCGATGGGGATCTCAAAAGCCCCGCGACGGAGCCGCCCGCGGCGTATTCTAAGTACAGGTTGCGAACCTTCGCGTCGCCTTCTTGCGACCAATCCGCGCCGCGGAATCCCACGATCTGCTCGCAGTCGAGGGTGGAAAGGATGGAGATCTCGTTTTCCAAAGCTTCGACTGCGCCATTGTTGTTTCTCAACCTCTCTTGTTGCTGAGGCGACGCCTGCGACGCTTGCGACGATGCGGACTTAACTGCGAAAAAATCGCCCGACGTGTTGTCGACTGCCATGTGCACGCGACCGAAGGAGCCCGATCCTAACAGACGACCTCGCTTCCATTCTGCGGGAGTGTCAGAATTTCTAAACTCGATAGCCATCTCGTAACAGAGGGAAACAGTTTTCAAAGATATAAGGTTAGCTGTGAAGGTTGCTGGGCTTGCAACACAAACTCCAGCTGGTTTCGTGAACTGGAATGAGCTGCAGTCCAGCTTTACTCAGAATAGAGAAGTCGATGAGTCACTGCCGCTGAACTGGATTATGCTGTGGTCCGGGTTGCGTTTTCTCCCTCCCATCCCATCCATCACGCTTTATTCAAACGCGAGAACGTTCGTCGCTTCGCATTGGTGGTGCGTCTGGCTTCGCGCGTGCGAGTGCGATGCGCTATTTTTGCGCGGCTTTTCCCCTTCTGCTTGATGTGTAGGCTACGCTGCACGCTGCAGCAGAGGAGGGTGGTGGTGCGGTGGAGTGGACGTATGGATGGATCGAGATTCGATGGTTGGGATTTGCTTATTGCTGTTGGCAAGATGGGCAGGGCAGAACATAACAGCATTGGCAGCATAGGATGAACGTGTAGACTAGATCTGCGGCGTCGAAATATGCTGTAAAACATTTCCGGAATCCTGCCCCAACAGATAGCGATCCGAGATTTGGGGGTCTCGGTGCAAAACGACAGAAATTTATTGCCCCGAATATGGATCGTGCAGGGTGGGAGAGGGAGGAGGGCGAGGCGAGGGGGGACCAGGGGCGGAGGGTGGAGGAGGAGGCGAAGTGGCGAGTTCGTCGTGACAACGCAACCATCGGCTTGGTGTGCGGGATGCTCAATTCATTGAGGCGTTGCAAATGTGCCACGTGGAAGAGTCAGCAATTCCGAACGAGAAATTTCTGTCTCGGGTATTGGATTTTGGCTGGCAACTTCGTTCGGATCGTCGCTTTGGTTCTGACCCAACCCGACTCGCATTGATTTCCTGGTTTCTCAGGTTGACGCGGCAACCGACCGAGTTATGACCACCACACCACGACCTCATGTCGGACCGCTTTTGTCAGAGCCATTGCACATGCACTGGGTACGAAACGCTGCCTGAAGCTTCCTCATAATCTCAGTCACATGGGTCCATCCCAGAAACGCGAGACGTAGTTTGCCGGAGGAACCACTGAATTTTCCGATTGCCGCGGAAGGCCTTTGGAGCCTTGAATTGGCGTGCGCCATGCCTTGGGAGTTTCAAACAAGCGAGCGGCTTGAGGTATGCAACAGTGTGTCGATAGTTTGAACTTTTTTTGTGTGCGGTTTGCGGCGAAGTGGATGGCGAGGAAATGACAGCCACAGCCGCATTGGCTAGAATTAAAAAATCTGGTTGGTCCAATCCAAACCTGCACGTACAGCACGGAAACCTTGTGGACAATGTGGCTGACGCTGGACAGCGCGAAGAATTCGGTTGGCTGGACGAAATGCTATGGACCAGCTGCCACGGAATCGACGTGGATTCATGCTGTGCTGGACAGCGATGCTGCAACTTGGATTGACCGCAAAAATATCGCGGCTCGATGTAACCTTTGTGTGTGTGTGGGTGGAGCAAACCCCCAGCCATTGTACTGTACAGTAGCAGATCTAGAAGGATAGCACGAGCTGTGCTGCAATACGGTTCCAGACAACACTCAAGGCAGGTCTGGCAAATCATACTAGTCACCCTTTGATTAAGAACTTTGTAGTGTATACTGAGGATGGAATTGGTACAGATGAGCAGCACACGAGATTTGAAATACCCACCTTCGGAAACTCAGGAATTCACACTACTCCCGAACTCTTCAGTCGCACCTCGCAGGTAATGGTGGTGGCGATGGACGAGTACTACAAAACGACTCATAGTCTACAGGTATTTGTAAAAATGTCGAACGAAATAGCATGAAACCCTAGAGCACGTGAACAATAGTGTAGTGAGTGTACGACATGCAGTCTGTGGCACCAGGTTCTCAATCAGGTGCCTCCTCCTCCCTCCACCTCATGTCGCACACATGAGCTCAGGCCGAAGCCGTCCACATGATGTCGCAAATGTCCACGCAGGGGCACCTCCATTTCCTCCTGGCTGCAGAATCTAAAACCACCTCTCAAGACACGTGAAGGATTTCAATGTCACTTCACTTCCTGTCCTTCCCCGAGGCGCGCACCCCGACATCGTGCTCGCCCTTCCTTCCTTTTTGGGATCCATTTCGGCCTCCCATATTCCATCCACACGCCCGCCCCTTTCAATTGCATCCGTTACGTTCCAAACTGTACTCTCTACAACCCCAATCCGTATTGCAAAGACGTTTACAACATTGCTTTTTTACAGACATAAAAATTGCCCGATTAATAGCTTTATTTCTTATATCCAAATGCCAATCTCAATATTCATTAAATCGCACCAAGATAATGGACGGATGAATAAAACGACACAATCGCCAGCAGCTGAGCAGTAGTATCATGTGGAGCATCACCACCACCAGCCCCCTCAACAGCACCCACCAGAAGCACAGAGGGCAAAGGAGAGGCGGCGCGGTTCGGAAGCCTCTTAACACAGCTACTCCTCCTCGTCCTCAATCTTACACCTCTAAAGAGCTCTCTGAAGTCTTGTGAAATTTCCCACGTCACCAGCACACCAGCACCACCAACAGAAGCAGCAGTGCTTGCAGTAAAACCTTCCCCAGTCGAGCCTTCACCAGCAGAGCCTCCCCCGATCTCCTTCCCACCAGGACCCCCAGCAGCACCCACCAGAGGCTTCTAAGTGGTGGCAGAAAAGAGCAGAGGGTCGATGAGAGTCGAGGCAGTCTGGTAGACAAACATGTCTCCTAGGATGTAGGCTGGGGGGCGGGGGGTGGGGTGCAGTGGAGTGGAGTGGAGTGGGGTGGGGTGGGTTTGTGAGGTGGAGCCTATGAGAGTAGAGGCAGCCTGGAAGACAAACATGTCTCCCAGGATGTATATAGGTTGGGGGGAGTGAAGGGGGGCAAGAAGGGGTGGAGTGTGGTGAAGTGGGGTGGAGTGTGGTGGAGTGGGGTGGGGTGTGGTAGGGTCTGCCATGGCTTGTGGTCCAGGGCCCCATGTTTCCCCCCCCCCCACACAGAGGCAGTTGGAAACACTACCAGTCAGATGCTTCCCATGCTCCAAGTGACAGGTAAATCAAGCACCAAACAGAATCTTACCATAGCTTGTGGTCCAGGGCCCCACGTATCGCACACACACCGCCGATAGCAGTGCTCCAGAGACAGTAGAGAACAAGAGCTTGAGCGAGTAGCTGAGCGTTCGTTTTATCAGCCACAAGCCCATGCATCGTTATTAACCAGGACGCTTACCATAGCTTGTGGTCCAAGGTCCCACGTATCGCACACACACCGCCGATAGCAGTGCTCCAGAGGCAGTTGAGAACACGAGCTTGAGAGAGTAGCTGAGCGTTCGCTTTACTAGCCACACGATCTGCACTCCTGTAGCCTTCACAGGGCATATAGCGAGCCCCTGACCCGCTTGCAACACGAGCTTGAGGAGTAGCTGAGCGTTCGCTTTACTAGCCACACGATCTGCACTCCTGTAGCCTTCACAGGGCATATAGCGAGCCCCTGACCCGCTTGCAACACGAGCTTGAGGAGTAGCTGAGCGTTCGCTTTACTAGCCACACGATCTGCACTCCTGTAGCCTTCACAGGGCATATAGCGAGCCCCTGACCCGCTTGCAACACGAGCTTGAGGAGTAGCTGAGCGTTCGCTTTATTGCATAACCAGAAGAAACTACCTATTGCTTACCATAGCTTGTGGTCCAGGGTCCCACGTATCGCACACACACCGCCGATAGCAGTGCTCCAGAGGCAGTTGAGAACACGAGCTTGAGCGAGTAGCTGAGCGTTCGCTTTACTAGCCACACGATCTGCACTCCTGTAGCCCTCACAGGGCTTATAGCGAGCCCCTGACCCGCTTGTGGTGGTGGTGGAGGGAAGAGTAGGCGGTGGAAGGCAGTGAGGGTATCCGTTATAAGCTGCACTGCTACACTGGATAGTGGGCTCAGGAAGTGTGCTGATGGGGAGGGAAGAAAGGAGGGGAAGGGGGAGGGGAAGAGGGAGGGGAGGAGAGAGGGGGGGGAGCAGAACCGTTATGAGTTGGAGTGCTACGGCATTATTAGTGGGCCTGGGACCTGGGCTGACTGAGTTTGGAGGTGACTATAAATAAATTATATGGTTTTTGAGCTGTCTTAAAACGTGAGTGGGGGGGCAGAATCGTTATAAGTTGCAGTGAAACAGTATTACAAGTGGGCCTGGCCCAGGACCAGGGCTGACTGAGAAAAGGAGGGGTGTGGTGGGAGGGAGGTGCGGTGGGGAAGCAAGGTAGTTTAGAAACTTGGGGGGTGTGGTGTGGAAGCAGAGGAGGCAACATATCTTAAGTGACTCAAATACTTAAGAAGCAAGGGAGGCAGAACTACTAAGGTGCCATAAATTATGAAGCATGAGAGGTGAGGCGAGGTAGTGAGACAGAGAGGAGGTGACAAAAGGGAGAATGGGAGGCAGGCATGAAATGGAAGGTAGAGAAAACAGGAAGGAGAGGAAGAGGGAGAGGAAGAGGGAGGGGGAGAAGGAGAGGGAGAGGGAGAGGGAGCGGCATGAGATTATACCTCTGACGTTGGTGATTGTAACGGATGTGATTAAACCCAAGCCGGTGAGTCCCCTGCCGACTTTGCGAATGGCTGACTGAGTGGGGTCTGGGGGCGAGGCGTTGGGAGAGAGGGAAGGTGGAGAGGGGAAGGAAGTGCCTTTCGAGATGCCTCAAATGTGCTACCTGTGAGTTTTTCCCTGCTGACTTTGCGAACGTCTGGCTGAGTGGGGTCTGGGGGCGAGGCGTTGGGAGAGAGGGAAGGCGGAGAGGGGAAGGAAGTGACTCTTGAGACGCCTCAAAACGGCCTGTGAGTTTTCCCCTGCTGACCTTGCAAATGGCTGACTGGTGGGGTCTGGTGAGGGGTATTGAGAGGGAGGGACGGCGGAGAAGGGAAAAAGTGATTTTGGAAACATTTCAAGGGGACTTATGAGTCCTCTCCTGCTAACCTTCCAAAGGGCCGACTCGTTGGAATTAGGGTTTAGGTAATTAAGGGGAAGGGAGGGTGGAAGGGGGAGGCAGTGAGTGCTCCCCTGCTGACCGTGTATGACCAACCAAGTGGATAGGGTCTGGTGCGAGGCGTTGGGAGGAAAGATTGAGAGAGGAAGAGTGGAGCTAGAAAAGCTACCAAACACTCCTTCTCTCTCACACACTCGCTCTCCCTGCTTTCCCACATGATCTTTCTCACCCTTGGTTCGATTCAACAGCCATTGGCCAGATAAGGAAAGAGCCACGTATTGGTGCTTCCCTCTCCTTTGTTCTCTCTCCCCCATTCTGCCCCCGTTCATACTCCCCCCCTTCATACTCCCCCCGTTCATACTCCCCCCGTTCATACCTCTCCCATACGATCAAATCTCTTACCCTTGGTCAGCTTCCATAGCCAGCGGGCAGACACGGTTCGAGCCACATACCAATGCTTCCCTCTTTCTGCATTCCCACTCTCCGTTCATTCCTCTCCATACGATCGTCTCACTCACCCTTGGTAAGCTTCCACAGCCAGCGGGCAGACACGGTTCGAGCCACATACCAATGCTTCCCTCTTTCTGCATTCCCACTCTCCGTTCATTCCTCTCCATACGATCGTCTCACTCACCTTTGGTCAGCTTCCACAGCCACCGGGCAGACACGGAGCGAGCGAGATAAAAGTGCTCCAGCGCCCTGCGCACTGACATCACGGCCATCTGAATGGAGGGGAGGGGGGGACGGGGAGGGACGGGGGAAGGAGGTAGGGGTAGGGGGAAAGGGGGAGAAAGATGGGGGATTCTTGTCAAGAAGATAAAAGTGCTCCAGCGCCCTGCGCACTGAGATCACAGCCATCTGATTGGGCGGGGGGGAGTGGAGAGGGGTAAGGGGAAAAGTGGCGAAAGATGGGAGACTCTTGTTACCAAGGTAGAATGCTCCAGCGCCATGCGCACCGAGATCACAGGCATCTGATGGGCATGGGTGAAAGCGGATGAAGGGAGAGGGGAGAAAGAGAGGGGCAGGGGAGGGGGGGACGCGGATGGTAAGGGGAAGGAGGTAGGGGTAGGGGGAAAGGGGGAGAAAGAGGAAGGATTCTCGTTAAGAAGGTAAAAGTGCTCCAGCACCCTGCGCACTGAGATCACAGCTATCTGAAGGGGGATAGGGTGAGGGGGGCGGGGGAAGGAGGGAGGAGAAGGGGGAATAGGGGAGGAAGGCGGAGCATTGATGTTAACAAGATAGAAGTACGCCAGCGCCCTGTGCACCGAGATCACAGCTATCTGGTGCGACTTTTGAGAATTCTCAAAAGCTATCTGATGCGTGAAGGGATGGGTGGGGTGGGGGAGGGGAGTGATGGGGGGAGAAAGGAGGGGAAACGGGGATCTTTTTGTGACGAACTAGATCGTAAGAGTGCTCCAGCGCCCTGCGCACTGAGATCACAGCCATCTGATGGGGGAGGGACGAGGAGGAGGGGAAGGAGGGCGAAGAGGGGAGCGGGGGCGAAGACACACCTGCCAGTGTTCCCACCCACTGCCCAGCACACAGTGATAACAGCTAACTGATGGGGGAGAGAGGGATAGGGGAGAGTGGAGGTCACCAAAATGCGTCAGCCCTAACCTATCTCACCTCCCTGAGCGACAGCCATAGTGTGCCTGCAGCAATCCTCCCTGCACCCATATTCCGAAACGCTGCAATCCTGATTTTGATACGTCTCACACTCCACCCAAACGCACCAAGCCCACTCACCTCCCTGAGAGACAGCCACGCTGTGCCAGCAGCGATCCTCCCAGCACCCATATTCCGAAACGCTGCAATCTTCCTCTCCCTCTCCCTCCTTGCCTCCCACATGCGTCAGTCCCACTCACCTCTCTGAGCGACAGCCACGCTGTGCCAGCAGCGATCCTCCCAGCACCCATATTCCGAAACGCTGCAATCTTCCTCTCCCTCTCCGCTGCCTCCACCGCTCTCCTCCTCTCCCTCTCCCTCCTCGCCTCCTCTTCTTCCTCGTCCTCCTCCTCCTCTTCTTCCATACTGGGAGCCTGAGCCTCAATATAGTCTGCAAACAGTGGGAGGATTTGGATAAGGCTGTTTCTCACAGCCATTATCAGCATGCCACGTGGACAGAAGGCGGAGTAGAGAGATCTCAGCTTCACCGTGTAGAGCTTCCCATCCACCCGTTCCGTAATAACGTTGGCTGATCTGCTGATGTCAGCACGAGCGCGAACCTCTTCGTCATCAGAAGCTGCTGGTGATGTTCCGGGACCTTCGTTTCCCTTTCCGTTGCTCTTCTCCGTTCGGAAAACTGTTCCCGAGCCTGTGCGCGAGGCTTGGTGAGTCCATGGCTGGAAGGTCTGGTCCGAGGCTGATTCGGCTCGGCAGTGCGCAACGGGGAGGAAGTGCAAGAGCAGGGGTGAGGGGGATGAGTGGGAGGCGAGAGGGATGGGGCGAGCGATAAGGGGAAGGACCGCCTGGGGGAGAATGGAGAGAGGATTGCAGCTGCTGCTGATGCTTCTGATGCTGCTGATGCTGCTGCTGGTGATGGTGCTGGTTGGAAAGTGGTTGGAATGGAGGCGACCTGAGAGCAAAGCAGACCTGCACGCATCCAATGACAAGAGGGTTAAGCACGTTGTTTTTAGAAAGGATGAAGATATTAAGATAGACGTAATTTCGTTTCAAGAAACAGGCCTGGCCTGGGAGTGTGAACAAACCTGAAAGCAGACGCATGGACGTGTCCACCCAGCGACGTGAAGTACGAATTCGTCGCGTATCCTCGATTCGTGCCTTTGACAGGCCCGACAGACGCCATTTCAGTCTAACGTCACGGAAATTGACGAATTTGTTGTTGAAATTCACCAGGTTCCTCGTTACAGCACGACCCGAAATTAAGAGAATGGTTTCAAACTGCTTCTTGGCGCCTTCCTGCTGGCGTAAGCATGCAAAATAGTTCGGGTCCTGCAAGATCGCGACCGTTGATCAACAAGCCTTGTGCAATTGCAAGAGATCGTCAGGTTCGTGCGCAATCGCGAACTATTATCGCAAACAGAGGAACCAGTAAAATTGCGTACACGAACTTCAGGCAGCGTGGAATGAAAGCAAAAATCTTCACCGATGGAAGAAAGGAAAGGGAGAGACTGTCTCTCCTGGTGTCTCTGAAGTCTACAATACTCCCACCAGGGCTTCAAGCTCAAGGAGTTATCTTGCTTGCGGAGAAGATAGGGTGGAGTGAATTGGAGTTCCCAAGGCAGCCCCAGTTTATGGTTCCGGCCCAGGGGACGCTTCACCTCCTGGATCCTGAGCAGGTTCGGTTTCCGGCGGGATCTAAAACGGTCCAGAAAGCTGTGATCAAGTGGGAGGTGAAGCGTCCAACCGATCTTTCAAACGAACTGTCAGCCGACTTTGGTGTGCTGGTCGGCCTACCCTGTCCTACGAGGGTGTTCCTACGCTGCGAAAACACACTGTCTCGATAATGTCGCATGTTACTCGCGTGTTCTCGCCTTTGGACTCATTCAATGTGACCTGTTCGAGTTGTGTGAGGCTCTGCCTCTACATGATGCCGGGTCCGATCCGACCCGAGACTGACTTTCTGTAGGACTTGAAACGCGTTCACGATGGTTCGCATATTGTGACCGATCGTGTCACGTCGAGCGATCTGACCTGCAAGGTTGCCTCTCTATAGTACAGATCAAGTGACAACTGACCCGAATTTCAGCGCAAAATACCTGCGCTGTTGCTCACCGATCGAACGAACTTCGAGGCAACGCTCGACTCAGAGGTCCACTTCACACAATTCCAGCTCACATCGCGTCCACTCTCCTTCCAGCTCGATTCGTTTCCCGCCAATTCTCTGACATCCGAATCCAACGCCACACCGGGATTCGAAAATCCTGACAACCTAATACCACCAACCAATAAAGGCTCAGGAAAACACCAACGCAGAGGGAACGCATCAGATCAGACTCAGAAAAACATGAGTGCAGCAAACCATTCTGGTGTGTTTCCGTTTGTGTCTGCTGCTTGCACTCAAGACTTCCTTGGGATCTACGCCGCATTGTCAATTTCCTGAATCCTGATTATTAGACATTGCTCGTAAGGCATAGCTCGGCTTCCTGATCACTCCTATTATTACTTTATAAGGTTTCTCGTCGTCATTTTCCTAGCTCGTACTGTAGCCTCTGACAAGCAGAGCTTAGACTTCGTACATCTTGAAAAAAATGGCGGACGAAGGCAAGTCCGTGGCGAAGGTGATCGACGGCAAGGCCATCGCGAAGCAGATCCATGGCGAGGTGGCTGAGGGGGTGGCCAAACTGAAAGAGGCCACTGGGAAGGTGAGGACTTCGTTTCACGACGCTAACGAATCTGCAACAAACACTGAGGGGACGTATAATACGATTCTGCTACAAAACAGCTCACATCATGGCTGTGTTGTAGCGCATTCGCGTGCAAAGGTTTGCACGAGTACGTTCTACCTACTCTCTGTTCGACCTCCTTTCCATTCTACCTTCATGAATCGTACCTGCCTGAGTCGTGACTGAGGTGAAATGAAAGGTGCGTCAGGAAAATGGAAATTGCCTTTTACCCAGATCACTTCGTGCTCTACCCAATCCCTTCCGCAGGTTCCAGGGCTGGCAGTAATCATAGTGGGGGAGCGCAAGGACTCGCAGACGTACGTGCGGATGAAGGTGAAGGCGTGCCAGAACGTGGGGGTTCCCTTATAACTGAGTACAAGATCGCCTTTCTGCCCAATCCCCTGCCCAATCCCCGCCGCCAATGCAGGTCCCAGGGCTGGCTGTGATTATAGTGGGGGAGCGCAAGGACTCGCAGACGTACGTGCGGATGAAGGTGAAGGCGTGCCAGGAGGTGGGGATCGCGTCATTTGAAGGGAAGCTTCCTGGCGATGCCAGCCAGGATGACGTCATCGCTGCAGTCAGAGAGTTCAACGCCAACCCTGACGTGCATGGTGAGCCGCTGACGTGTGTGTAGTGAGGCGCTGACGTGTGTGTAGTGAGGCGCTGACGTGTGTGTAGTGAGGCGCTGACGTGTGTGTAGTGAGGCGCTGACGTGTGTGTAGTGAGGCACTGACGTGTGGATGCTGAGGTGTGCACGATGACGTGCTGACGTGCATGGATCGAGTGAGTATCCCCACCCTCCCCCCAGGTCAAGCTAACCATCCACACCCCTTATCCGTTCGTCTGCTTTCTGTGCCCCTCCCATTCCATGTCTCGCTCCTCCCACATTCCCCCATCATCACCACGCATTCTGGTTCAGCTGCCCCTGCCAGCACACACCAGCGAGGAGGCGGTGCTGGCTGAGTTGGCGCTGCTGCTGCGACGTTCTTGCCCTACAGCTTATCCATTCCTATGCGCCTCCCGTGCCTCGTCCCTCCCATAAATCCCCCATCATCACCAGGCATTCTGGTCCAACTCCCCCTGCCAGCGCACATCAGCGAGGAGGCGGTGCTGGCTGAGTTGGCTGGCGCTGCTGCCATGTCTTTCGCTACCCCTTATCCGTTTGCCTAATGTCCCTGCCCCTTGCATACCCCCTATATTCCGCATCACAGCAAGCATTCTGGTCCAACTCCCTCTGCCGGCGCACATCAGCGAGGAGGCGGTGCTGGCTGAGGTGGCGCTGCCCAGTGACGTGGACGGCTTCCATCTCCCGTATCCCTTGTCCTTACACAGTTGGCCACGACCTTTAGGTGGCTTTTGAGTCGACTCAGAAGTCACTCGCTGAGGTGGCGCTGCCCAAGGACGTGGACGGACGGCGTCCATCTCCCGCGTCCCTTCCACGGCTGCTACCAATGCCTTGCCTTGCCCTACCCCTCATTTCATCTGCCTTGTGAATGTGCCCCTCCCGTGGCTCGCACAGGCATTCTGGTGCAGCTGCCCCTGCCGGCACACATCTGCGAGGAGGCGGTGCTGGCTGAGGCGGCGCTGCTGCCAATGCCTTGCCCTGCCCTTAATTTCATCCGCATTCCGTCTGTTCCACTCCCATGACTTGCTTGCACCAGGCATTCTGGTTCAGCTGCCCCTGCCGGCGCACATCAGTGAGGAGGCGGTGCTGGCTGAGGTGGCGCTGCCCAAGGACGTGGACGGCTTCCATCCAATCAACATCGGCCAGCTGGCGATGAAGGGGCGCCACCCGCAGTTCGCCCCGTGCACTCCCGAGGTGGGGAAGGGGTAGGGGATGAGAAGGAACTGGAGCTCGTTATTTAGAAATCTAAAAAATGACCAAAGTATGTTTTGAGTCGACTCAAAACACACGAAGGGGTAGGGTGGTGAAGGGGCGCCACCCCCAGTTCGCCCCGTGCACTGCATGGTTCTATTGGAGCGCAGTGGCGTGCAGATCAGTGGGCAGCGGGCGGTGGTGATTGGCCGCAGCAACATCGTGGGCATGCCCGCTGCGATGCTATTGGTGGAGAGGGACGCCACGGTTACCATAGTGCACTCGAGGACCAAGGAGCCCAAGGAGATCGTGAAGCAGGCGGACATTGTGATCGCTGCCATTGGGAAGGCCCAAATGGTGAGTGGGGGATGTGGAATGTGGTGGAGAGTGGTGGAATGCGGTAACCTGTCAGGAGAGGTTACCATCATGCACTCGAGGACCAAGGAGCCCAAGGAGATAGTGAAGCAGGCAGATATTGTTATTGCTGCCATTGGGAAGGCCCAGATGGTGAGTGCGGGTTGGTGGAGTGCGGTGGAGAGCGATGGAGAGTGGTGGAGTACGGTAGGTCGTAAGGAGGAGCAACCATAGTGCACTCGAGGACCAAGGAGCCCAAGGAGATTGTGAAGCAGGCAGATATCGTCATCGCTGCTATTTGGGAAGGCCCAGATGGTGAGTGCAGTGCGGTCAGGTGCGGTGGAGTGCGTTGGAGTGCATTGGTGTGTGGTAACTAGTAAGGAGCAGAGCAGTTACCATAGTGCACTCGAGGACAAAGGAGCCCAAGGAGATCGTGAAGCAGGCGGGTACTGTGATCGCTGCCATTGGGAAGGCGCAGATGGTGAGTGCAGTGTGGTGAGGTGCGGTGGACTGCGTTTGAGTGCGGTAACTCGTAATTAGCAGAATAGTAACCATCGTGCACTCGAGGACCAAGGAGCCCAAGGAGATTATGAAGCAGGCGGATATCGTGATCGCTGCCATTGGGAAGGCACAGATGGTGAGTAACGGTGCAGGGTGGTAACGAGTGGTCAGCATAGTGCACTCGAGGACCAAGGAGCCCAAGGAGATTGTGCAGCAGGCGGATATCGTTATCACTGCTATCGGGAAGGCCCAGATGGTGAGTGCGCGGCGGTGGAGTGCGGTGACGAGCAGTGGACTGTGGTAACTCTTTAGGAGCAGTTATCGTCATGCATTTTGAGGACAAAGAAACCCAAGCGGATCGTGAAGCAGGCGGATATTGTGATTGCTGCCACTGGGAAGGCTCAGATGGTGAGTGCGGGTTAGTGGAGTGGAGAGGGTTAACAGGTAATGACACCTCTCCTTCGCTGCTCCTCTCTCTCCTTCCCCTCTCCTCCTTTCTCCTCCCCGCAGGTGAAGGCGGACTGGTTGAAACTGGGGTGTGCAGTGATCGACGTGGGGATCAATGCAGTGGACGACGCAAGCAAGAAGGCGGGGTACCGGCTGGTGGGGGATGTGGACAATGAGGGGGGCAGGGAGGTTCCCACTCAACCGCCGTCCTCCCTTCCTCCCCTCTCCTTCCATCTCCTCCCCCTAAACAGGTCAAAGCCGACTGGTTGAAGGCGGGGTGTGCAGTGATTGACGTGGGGATCAATGCAGTGGACGATGCGAGCAAGAAGGCGGGGTACCGGCTGGTGGGGGATGTGGACTATGAGGGGGCCAGGGAGGCTCTCACACAACCACCCGCCTCCTCGCTTCCTCCCCTCTTATTCCCCTCTCCTTCACCTCTCTTCCCTCTCCTTCACATTTCTTCCATCTCCTTTCCCCCTCCCTTACCCTATCTTTCACCTCTCTTGCCCTCTCTACCCCACCAGGTAAAGGCGGACTGGTTGAAACCAGGGTGTGCGGTGATCGACGTGGGGATCAATGCGGTTGATGATGCGAGCAAGAAGGCAGGGTACCGGCTGGTGGGGGATGTGGACTATGAGGGGGCCAGGGAGGTGGCCGGGTGGATCACCCCAGTCCCAGGGGGAGTAGGGCCCATGACCATCGCTATGCTGCTGCAACACACTCTCACAGCCGCACAGAGGGCTCTTGGGGCTAATTCATAGGGCGATACAGACAGTACACTGAGGGTTCTGGGGGTCAGCTAGAGTAGAACACAATCAGGCTTGAGTTAGATTAGAGGTGACTGGGTGGATCGCACCCATGCCGGGGGGAGTGGTTGGGCCCATGACCATCGCTGTGCTGCTGCAGCATACTCTTATAGCCGCAGAAAGGGCACTGGGGGTCAGTTCATAGGGCTGTACTGGTTGGCTTGGTTGGCGTTGAAGGCAGTTGGCTTGTGTGAGCTGAATTTGATGGTGGCCGGACCGGATGGATCACACCTGCGCCGGGGGGAGTGGGGCCCATGACCATTCACCATTGACCATTCGCTGTGCTGCTGCAGCACACCCTCACAGCCTCCCAGAGGGCACTTGGGGTCAGCTGATAAGGGGGTTACTGGGGGTAGGTACAACCTAGGAAGGTTTGAGCAATGCCGTGTTGCTGCAAGAGAGTGGAAACGTTCGCGCTCGCATAGGGCACTACGGTAGGTTTGTTTTCGTATTGTTACGGTAGTACGTTTTGGATTTGGTAAACTGTTTGCCTCTCACTTATGCGGGATTTGAGTGCTTCAGTAAACTCCTCCATAGCAACTCTAATCTACACTGTCAAGATGGGTACCGTAAAAGAAGACGCGAGATAGGTGCATTGCATGGTATGGTAACCAGGCTGCGAAACAGGACACCTCGAGAAAATTTGAGTAAAATGTGCACTACGAATAAAACCTGTGCGAGTACAAACGATTCCAGTTGCCATACCATCTCGGGCGTTTCATAATTTGCGGTGAAAAAAATTACCGTCACGGCGTCTGAACTTTCATAAGACCATCTCAGTGAGAAACTACACGGTACCCATTGCCTGCTTCCTCCAAAACTGTTCAATATTTAAATGTGTTTAATTTAGACGTTTACCCTGCAGGTTCTTACAGAGTAGCTCCTATTCACAAGGTGCCCATTTAAGTTCACCCCGTAGCTTCTTCCAGTAGCTGTTTCAATTCTAGAAATGCCTGGGGATTTTTCCCCTCTGGCATGGGCCAAAATGTGCCCACGGAACTTACCCCGTATCTTCTTCCAGGAGCTGTTTCTCAACAGCCATTCTCCGAGCCACCATTTCCCCGTATTTTGCGTGCAGGTCAGGGGCACTTGCTGAGCTGGCACCTGTGGAGGTGGCGCTTGCTGAGGTGGCACTTGCTGAGCTGGCGCCGGCTTGATCCAGGAGGGATGTGAAGGGGAGAAACGAGCCTTGCGTGTGGCAGAGGTAGCCGTGTGCTGCTCTCAGCGCTGCTCCCAATGAAGCGGAGTCTGGAAAGGGGGGGATGGAAGGGGAAGGAGCAAGAAGAGGAGAAATGAGTGAAGATACAGGAGAGTTGAAAAGGAGCCTTGGGTGTGGCAGAGGTAGCCGTGTGCTGCTCTTAGCGCTGCTCCCAATGAAGCGGAGTCTGGAGACGGGAGGGAATGGGAGGGAAGGCAGCAACAAGGGGGATAACGTGTAAAGAGAAGGGAGCCTTGGGTGTGGCAGAGGTGGCCGTGTGCTGCTCTCAGTGCTGCTCCCAACGAGGCAGAGTCTGGAAGAGGGGGAACGAGATGGAAAGACATGGGAGGAGATGGGAAGGGAGAGGAAGGAAGGAAGCAAGGAGGAGCGGAATGAGCAGAGAGAGGGGGGAGAGAGACGATGGACTTTGGGCGTGGCGGAGGTAGCCGTGTGCTGCTCTTAGCGCTGCTCCCAACGAGGCAGAGTCTGGAGTCGGGAGGGAATGGGAGGGACGGAAGCAAACAAGGGGGATAACGTGTAAAGAGAAGGGAACCTTGGGTGTGACAAACGTAGCCGTGTGCTGCTCTCAGCGCTGCTCCCAATGAAGCGGAGTCTGGAAAGGGGGAGATGGAAGGGGAAGGAGCAAGACGAGGAGAAATGAGCGAAGATACGGGAGAGTTGAAAAGGAGCCTTGGGTGTGACAAAAATAGCCGTGCCGTGTGCTGCACTCAGTGCTGCTCCCAATGAGGCGGAGTCTGGAGGGGAGAGAGGAAGAAGGGTGGGAGGCAGGTTGAAGGGCATATGGGAGAGAGAGCGACGAGAGGGTGGCATAGGAAGGCAGATGTAGCCGTGTGCTGCACTCAGTGCTGCTCCCAACGAGGAAGCGTCTGGAAGAACGGTGGGGGCATACAGAGGAACAGAGCGATGAGAGGGTGGCATGGGAAGGGAGAGGAAGCTGCGTGCTGCTCGTAGTGCTGCTCCCGCGGAGTGAAGTCGGGAGGGGTGAAGGGGAGGAGGTGACTTCATCCGCTAACGAGAATGACATATTTACAGTCACGAACGGGGAAGAGTAACGCAAACAACAATTACGAGAATTGCCTCAGAAAGAGTTGGTTACAGCAAGTTGAAAAATCTATATGTGCGTGCTTGATTCATCTTATTATTGTGTTCAGATAGATTTTTCACGCCGCAACTTGTTTGATTTACCTGTGGATGATGAGGTGTACACTGGGCAGCCGAAAACATTCGCCATGGTGCGCAGGATCGCCTCATTGGCTGAGCCGCCCCCCGTGGCAATGATCCGGGCAGGTGGGCTCTGCAGCCCGATTCTCTCCGCATGCCCTCTCATTGACACCAACTGTCCTTCCACTAATGCCCTGATCTGTGAGTGACAGAAAGTGAAGGATGATAGGTGAAAACATAGAGGAGCAGAGAGTGTAGGTTTTGCAGCCCGATTCTCTCCGCATGCCTCCTCACGGACACCAACTGCCCTTCCACCACTACCCTGATCTTTAAGTAGGAGTGAGAGAAATGAGGGGAATGAGAATTTCAAGACACGAGAGGAATGGGAGAGATGAGAAAGGAGGAGAGGTGAGATGGGAATGGGAAGAGAGAGGAGATTTGCAGGTCAAATTCCTCCGCCTCTTTTGAGGCGCCTCAAAAGTCCTCAAAACTCGTCGTTGCAGCTAAATTTCCCCTCTTGTTGATTTCGAGTCTGTGAGTGTCGATCAAGAGCAGGGAGAAAAGGCAAAGGTGAACGAAGCATATTATTTTCCGGATCAAATTATTTTCCGGATCATATTATTTTCCGGATCATATTTATTTTCCGGATCATATTATTTTCCGGATCATATTATTTTCCGGATCATATTATTTTCCGGATCATATTATTTTCCGGATCTCCCTCTACTTGCGTTAGACCTGTGAATAGAGCGCGCTGCGTATGTACGGAACAACAAGAGAGAACTGAGAAACCAGAGAACAAAGAGGAAAGATTATGCGAAGAGGCAAGCATAAAACGGCGCTTGCTTCACTAGCCGCCGCTCTGCTATCCCTGTGCAAGCACGGCTACCTCTTTAAAGAAACTCCGAAAGTAACTACCTACGTGCAAGCAAGCTTACCTCTTGTGGCGGTTCAAAGGTTTGGTCAGGCGAGAGGCGAGGCAAGTGAGGTGAGTAAGGAGAAGGATTAGCAAGTAGGAGAATCGGTAGGAGGCTCTTTCAAAGCATTTTCATGTGGAGCAAGCAAGCATCCTAATGCAAGCCCGGTTACCTCTTGTGGCGGTTCAAAGGTTTGGGCAGGGGAGATGCGAGTGAGCGGGTCGCCTACGGCCGCACCCTCCCTTGGTGAAAAGCGATGGGTTCCCACTGCAACATTGGGACGCAGGGGCGATAGTATAGGTGCTTTTTGAGACATCTCAAAACGAGAGGCGAGTGATTGGGTCGCCTACAGCCAGCCCCTTGCTTGGTGAAAAGCGATGGGTTCCTTGTAACATTGGGACGCAGGGGCGATAGGATAGATAAACAGCCTATAAGCAGCGAGAGGATCGCTTTCGAGAGCTGGTTCAGCTGTGAGTGGGTCGCTTGAATGCACCCTCCCTTGCTGGGTCGCTTGAATGCACCCTCCCTTGCTGGGTCGCTTGAATGCACCCTCCCTTGCTGGGTCGCTTGAATGCACCCTCCCTTGCTGGGTCGCTTGAATGCACCCTCCCTTGCTGAAAAGCAATGGGTCTTCATTCTGTGATTGGGGCACAGGAGCGATAAGAAACCAAAGTCAACGATCGAGCGACCCACTCATTCGTAAGGGTTACCAAGAATTGAGATGGGACCCGATGCACGCAAGAGTGCCCATGCCCCCACCTGCCCATGCCCCCACCTGCCCATGCCCCCACCTGCCCATGCCCCCACCTGCCCATGCTCCCACCTGCCCAGTGTAGGAGCCCATGCGCCCCCCTGAGCAGACGGGATGTGAGTACCTAAAAGAATCATAACTTAATAACCAACTTACCTGGCAGTGGTGGGATGATCTCTGGGTCGAGATAGTAGAAGCCTGTGAGAGTCATAACCTGTGAGAGTCATAACCTGTGAGAGTCATAACCTGTGAGAGTCATAACCTGTGAGAGTCATAACCTGTGAGAGTCATAACCTGTGAGAGTCATAACCTGTCTACCAACTTTACCTGGCAGTGGTGGGATGATGTCTGGGTCGAGATAGTAGAAGCCCATGCGCCCACCTGCCCTCCCATCTGCCCACGCACCCACCTGCCAGAAGGAGTGTGAGTACCTGAGAAAGTAGTAAACTGTTTACCTACACACCTGGTAGTGGAGGGATGATCTCAGGGTCAAGATAGTAGAAGCCCATGCGCCCACCTGCCCAGACGTTAAAAGCGAGGGCAAAAAGTGGAGTGAGGAAGTGAGGAAGTACGGAGGTGAGGAGGTGAGGAGGCGAGGAAGCGGGATGACATCTGGGTGACAATGGTGGATAGTAGAACCCCAAACCAGCACATGAGATCCGGCCAGACATGGCTCAGTGAGCTGTGTGCGTGCAGTAGGCTTAAGCAAAGGAAAAAACAGCAGTAGATGACATCTGGGTGACAGTGGTGGATAGTAGAACCCCAAACCAGCACGTTCCCAGCCACGTGAAGAAAGAGTCTTTTTGAGACGTCTCAAAAACACTCTTTCTTGACATAGTACAATCCCAGGCCAGCACATTCCCAGGCGTTGTAAGAGCTGACAAGTGAGGGGGTCAGGAAATCGGGTGAGAGTGCAGGTTAGGAGGTCACGTTAGGTAAGGAGGTGAGGAGGAGAGAAAATCGGCTGGTGTGAGCCTCATTCAACTGTGTGTGTGAGAATGCCTCCCACAACCCTCCTGCACTGCAAACCCTCCAATCTCACACCACGCTCCCCCATGCAGCCACACCAGCTAGACCATGTATGCAGCACCGGCACTCACCATTCAAAGCAGGAGCCTCATTCAGCAGCTGGCAGAATGCGTCCCACAACCCTCCTGCACTGCAAACCCTCCAATCTCACACCACGCTCCCCCATGCAGCCACACCAGCTAGACCATGTATGCAGCACCGGCACTCACCATTCAAAGCAGGAGCCTCATTCAGCAGCTGGCAGAAGGCGTCCCACAACCCTCCTGCACTGCAAACCCTCCAATCTCACACCACGCTCCCCCATGCAGCCACACCAGCTAGACCATGTATGCAGCACCGGCACTCACCATTCAAAGCAGGAGCCTCATTCAGCAGCTGGCAGAATGCGTCCCACGACCCTCCTGCACAGCGGTCCCTCATGGCTGGTGGCGGTGGGATGGTGGGATGGTGGGAATATCACACACACGAGTCGAGTGAATCAGTCAGACCACCAGGTGCCTTCACACATAGACATAGAGAAACACACACACACACACACACACAACCGAGCTTCATTCAGCAGCTGGCAGAATGTGTCCCATGACCCTCCTGCACAGCGGTCCCTGATGGCTGGTGGCGGTGGGATGGTGGGAATATCACACACACGAGTCGAGTGAGTCAGTCAGACCACCACCAGGTGCCTTCACGCACAGACATAGATAAACCACACACCCACACTAGCTTCATTCAGCAGCTGGCAGAATGCCTCCCACGACCCTCCTGCACAGCGGTCCCTGATGGCTGGTGGCGGGCATGGGGGGGTGATGGTGGGATGGTGGGATGGGATAATTGCCCAGGCAAGTGAGTCAGTCCACCAGGCGCCTTCACAAATAGGCATACACACACATTAGCTTCATTCAGCAGCTGGCAGAATGTGTCCCATGACCCTCCTGCACAGCGGTCCCTGATAGCTGGTGGTGGTGGGATGGTGGGATGGGAGTATTGCACACGCAAGTAGGTCAGACCACCAGGCGCCTTCACACACAGACATAGGCATACACCCACACGCCCACACAACCGAGCTTCATTCAGCAGCTGGCAGAATGTGTCCCATGACCCTCCTGCACAGCGGTCCCTGATGGCTGGTGGTGGTGGGATGGTGGGAGGAATGGATGATGGGAGGATGGGATGATGGGATTAACACACGCTTCAATAAAATCACACGCAAGGTCAGAGGAATTACATATGCACGTAAATAGTCGCACCAGCAGAAGGCTCAACCACCCAGAACAGATAATCAACCGCTTGCAAGCGTTTGGTGCTACACAGTGAGAAAGCCGGTACCTTGTCGAGTGAGTGATCCGTTCTTATAACAGATCATGGCCATAAACGAGGATGGATCCACAGGGTTGGGAAACACGTGGCCCTCTAGCCCGGGCTGAGGGTCTAGCACCACTGCAAAGACCTGGTTGGGATGGATGAAGAGGTGGGAAGGGGGGTGATGGGATGGGATGGGATGGGATGGGATGGTATGCCATTGGAGTGGCAGTAGAGGGTTAAACACATGGCCCTCCAGACCTGGCTGAGGGTCTAACACCACTGCAAAGACCTGGTTGGGATGGGATGGGAAGAGGTGGGAAGGGGGGTGATGGGATGGGATGGTATGGGATGGGATGCGATTGGAGTGGCAGTAGGGGGTTAAACACATGGCCCTCCAGACCTGGCTGAGGGTCTAACACCACTGCAAAGACCTGGTTGGGATGGGATGGGAAGAGGTGGGAAGGGGGTTGATGGGATGGGATGGGATGGGATGGGATGCGATTGGAGTGGCAGTAGGGGGTTAAGCACATGGCCCTCCAAGCCCGGTTGGGGGTCCATCACCACTGCAAACACCTGGTTGGGATGGGATGGGAAGAGGTGGGAAGGGGTGGGATGGGATGGGATGGGATGGGATGGGATGGGATGGGGATGGCAAGGACATAAATCTCCAAGCCAGGTTGAGAATCCATCACCACTGCAAACACCTGGTTGGGATGGGAAGGGGTGGGAAGGGATGGGATGTGATGGCAAAGACATGACTCTCCAAGCCTAGAGGAGAAAAAACCTGACCCATGATTAAGCGTAACTAATTGCCACCTCTTCGTGTGGGAGAGGAAGACTCAGTACTTGTATCATTTTTGAGAATTATAAAATATGGAGAGCATTTGCCATACATCCATACATCCATACATCCATACATCCATACATCCATACATCCATACATCCATACATCCATACATCCATACATCCATACATCCATACATCCATACATCCATACATCCATACATCCATACATCCATACATCCATACATCCATACATCCATACATCCATACATCCATGATCCATTCTCACTCACAGTGTCACTCGTTCCGAGGCTGATGCCCACATCGCCCGAACCTCCCAGCGCCAAACCTGCGAGGCAGGCATGGCAGGAGGCAGGTGGTCCGGTCCGGCATTAGGTTTGAAAACAAACAGCCTTGCCTTTCATATCACACCAGAAACTAAGTGGCAAGCAAGAGTCAGAATGGTGAATAGGGTGCAAGTCGGTGCAAGTCGGTGCAAGTCGGTGCAAGTCGGTGCATTGCATGCATCCTACCTACCTGCAAGGCTGCACGGGTTGTCCCCTGACCATGCCACGACCTGGCAGCTTGGAGAGAAGCCAAACCTGGAGAGAGAGAAGAGAAGCAGAAGGGGGAGGGAAGGAATGGGGGTGGAAAAGGGAGGAGAGACGTGACGAGGATTGGGGGTTGCGGAGATTCAAGGGTTGTCCCCTGACCATGCCACGACTTGGCAGCTTGGCAAAAGGCCCGACCTAGAAAAAGAGGAGGAAAGAAGAGGGGGGAGGCAGGGAACGGGAGGTGGAAAGGGAGGAGAGACGTGACTAGGATTGGGGGTTGCGGAGGTTCAAAGGGTTGTCCCCTGACTATGCCACGAGTTGGCAGCTTGGCAAAAAGCCAAACCTGGAGAGAAAGAAGGGACGCAGAGGGAGGAAGAGGGGAAGAGGAAGAATGCAGGAGGTTTGAGGTGCCTCAAGGGTTGTCCCCTGACCATGCCACGAGTTGGCAGCTTGGGGAGAAGTCTAGTTTTGAGGCGCCTCAAAACCTGACTATGCCACGAGTTGGCAGCTTGGGGAGAAGCCAAATCTGGGGAGAGGAGGAAAGAAGAGGGGGGAGGCAGGGAACAGGAGGTGGAAAGGGAGGAGAGACGTGAAGAGGATACGGGGTTGCGGAGGTTCAAAGGGTTGTCCCCTGACTATGCCACGAGTTGGCAGCTTGGCAAAAAGCCAAATCTGGGGAGAGGAGGGAGCTGTGTGGGGGACGGGCCGGCCCGTGTTCAACCCTAGTGTGGGGGACGGGGAACAGGAGGCGATCAGCAGTTACTGATCCCTGATGTTTGTCGCCAGCCAGACCCTGCCACGACTTGGCCACTCGCTAGACAAAAAGCCAAACCTGCAGAGGGGAGGGAGCTGTGTGGGGGACGGGCCGGTCCGTGCTCAACCCTAGTGTGGGGGACGGGGAACAGGAGGCGATCAGCAGTTACTGAGCCCTAATGTTTGTCGCCAGCCAGACCATGCCACGACTTGGCCACTTGCTAGGTGCAGGATATTCATTTCAAGGTTAGAAAGCAGCCTCAAAGACAGTGCATGCAAGCATGCATGCATACATGCAGCCTCAAAGACAGTGCACACACAGTCCACGCACACACCTGTCAACATAGTATTGATGCACATTGCCAACCACTTGGTGGGACGGAACCACCTCGCCGAGCCTCTCTCGCAGGTTCGGCGCAGTGGCCTGTCAGGCTCGGTCGGGAGGGGCGGGGCGGGTAGGGGTGGGAGAGGGGTGGGCAAGCGGACATGCGATCAAGGTCTGGACGAAAAGCTTTGCAAGGCACGAAAAAAGAACGCAGTAGAAGGCAAGGTGTGATGAGGAATGCTTGCTTTGCTGGGAGGCATGCTATTGAAAACGGGCAGATGAGAAATAACACTGGCAAATCAACTGCAATGCACAATAGCAAATCGACAGATAGTGGCATAGAATAGGGCCAGCATCATGGCAATGTGTCAACAGCAATATCTCTATCGCATATAATGATAAATTGGATAATTCCTATATGACATTGTTGCAGCAATTTGACTAACCTCTTGTGCCTCACCTCGAGTGCCACGTCAGCTCACCTCGAGTGCGACGTCAGCCCACTCTCTCGTCCGCAGATCCATCAGATTCATCCCAGCGCCGTCAGCAGCATCAATGGGAGCGTAATCCCCGACCAATAGCGACGCGCCAAACGAGCTCACTAGCGAAATCCTCTCGGTGACATCATACTCCCGAGCCTGATGCTGCCACACCCGCCGAACCTGAGGCCCGGTGAACCGCTCGTAGGCTCGGGAGCCTGTCAGCCGAGCCAAAGCTGCAGGTCCGCCAAGAGCTGATTCGATTTCCCTACATTGGGCTGCTGTGCTGCTGTCCATCCAGATAGGGGAATCTAATATCGAAAATACACTCTGCTGCAATGATGCATTGCCTTGAAACGAATCACCTTGTACTGAATCATTTGAGCTGAACCCCTTTGAGTGCGACCCTTGCTTCTGAATCCCGCTGTTTTCCCTTTCCCTGTTTCTCTCATCCCCACATAACTGAGCAAAAAGAGTCTGGTCAGAACGAAGGTTTCTAAGCCGTGCCTGGGATCCTCTCCGCCAATAAACACTCCCGTGCTGCTGCCCGCTGCCTGAAACTGCCCGGACTTTATCAAATGGGAAATCAGCTTCTTTCAACCTCGATAGAATCACATCAAACGCTTCCACCCACATGGCGGGTGGTGCGGTGACTCTAAGCGCCGAGCCTGACGAGGAGGCTTGGGAGTCAGGTTCAGCGGAGGCTCGGTGCACGCCTCCGGAGGTTCGGTAGTGAGGGAGGGTCGTGTCATACTGGAGAGATTCGGTGGCGACAATGCGAAGAGAGGAATCGATGGCTGTGGCCTTGAGAGACCTGAAACCGGTGTGATTATAAAGGGGGAAGGGGGTGAGCGTGGCGGGAGGAAGGAGGGGTTGGGAAGGGGGGAGTGGGGAGAGCGGGAGGGGGGAAGGGAGGTTGGAGGGTTTTAAGGGTGAGTTTATGTGGGGACAGTGTCATATTGAAGTGATTCCGTAGCGACGATGCAAAGAGAGGAATCGATAGCTGTGGCCTTGAGCGACCTGAAACGCCGTAGTTCATGAAGGAAGTGGGGACATGGGGGGTTGGGGGGGGAGGGGGAGGAAGGGGGGGCAAGAGAAGGGGTAGCGACAACGCAAAGAGGGGAATCGATAGCTGTGGCCTTGAGAGACCTGAAACGCCGTTGACGGAGGAGGGAAGGGGGGGGGGGGGGGGGGGGGGGGGAGTGGGGGAAGGGTGTGGATGGGAGGGTAGCGGAGTAAAAAGGGGAGAGGGGAAGCAATTCGGGTTAGAGGTTGCGGGTGATCAATGTCAGCGTCATATTACAGAATCTCCATCAGAAGCGCGTGTCCCTATGTCGCCAATTGGGCAAGGCGGTTCAGTTCGGTACTCACCTCAGTGTACTTTTCACATGACGTTGCTAGCTGGGAAACGCACATGCTAGAGTAGTTGCACGGTCTCTTTGAACAACGTTCTTCTCGAAACGTTCTTGCACTCGTCACTCTGTTTTAGATGTGGTTCTTTCCCTCGTAATATATCAATGAGTCAATTTCGTTTCTTCTTTCGCTGGACACCAAGTATACAGATTGCGAATGCCACAAGCCTGTTCCAACAAGTCCGCATACTCAGAACATGTGCTTCTCTTCTATCGTGCAACCCTGTGCCAAAGCTCTCCGTTAGTCACGTTCGCACACATACCTGATGTATTTTTAAGAAATGAGACATGCCATAGCAGAGCGTTAGGCACTACGCTTCAGTAAATACATCAAATTTCTATGCATCGCATGGCTCGTGTCAAACGCGTCATGGCCAGAACAATGAAGCTAAGGATGCGGACGCTAAGGACTGTGGCGACGTCAGTGTTCACGATTCTCGCGGGCAACAAGAAGTGATGACGAAGACGCATGACGAAAGAAAGAAGGGAGCGCGCTCAAACCTACGCCTTTCAGGGTACTGGAAGCAATGGCGAGGCATGCCCACCCTCACGCAGACATCAATCGCATCGATACTATTCTCCAAGAGGCGGACTGCATTGTGATGGGGGTAACTTTTAACTGCATACTTAGTATACCTTTCAGTTTCCTGGAGGGAACAAAAGTTTACAGTTCTTGTGATGTCATGTGTGCAGGATCATCAAATTCCAATGCAGTCGAACTCGTTTGATAGCGGGATCTACGTATGCCACTACCTCAAAGCGCTAGTAGACTCTAGCTTCGAAACTGTGCGCGATTGGATCAGCCTCCGCGGTGCGAGTTCATTGCAGTACCGTCGTTCAATCCGGGCGGACATCTGCGAGCATGCCGAAGGGAAGCTGCTATCACAACTGTCTCAGCTCGGACTCAACGTCCCGCCACAGAAGACAAAGAGAGTGACAGCTGATGCAGCTGTTGTGCATCCCGATGACTGCGATGGCTGCGCGCGACTCGAAAAAGTGCATACCGAACTTCAGGTGATGAAACGTGAGGTAACAATCCTCAACGCGAGTGTCATCGCCATTGGGCAGGTACTTGGGTACAGTCAGGATCAGGTGCTAGCGGCAGCTGCGCATGTCCTACAGCAAGGCGGTCCAGGGTGGAGCGGGGAGTTTGCCCGTGCAGGTATTAACACTGTTCCTTCCACACCCCAGCATCCACCGAGTCCAGAGGAGGACATTAAGGGTAAGGTTACTCGGGTGTATGCTAACGAGAAGGCAGGCGGGGAAGCTGGCATGATACATAAATCCCCGGCTCCACTGGCGATGACAGAAACTGTCCTACATTGGCTCTATTTCCAACAGCAGCAGTCACTAATGCATCCAAGCCCAGCATCTGCGGATCATTTCAGCTTCCAAAGACCTGTAGTGTCAAACATACCAGCGACGGGGAGGATGGCGGCACTGGGTGGTGACGACAACGACGACAGAACTGCCACGCCGTTCGTTGTCGGCAAAAGCGACTGTACTCAGCTACCTCGATACACTGGGGTGTGTCTTGAACGCAGCACAGGGAAGTGGGGTGTGAAGCTTCTGGTGAACGAGAATGGGGTCCGTACACAGAAGCGCTTGGGGGCGTATACGACGAAGGAGGAGGCGGCCTATGCATACGCCGCAGCGGTCTTTGTGTTGCGCCCGGACGAGAGTATACCGGACACAAAGCAACTGTCGATAGACGAAAAGCGCGCTCTGGGAGGGTGCACTAAGGACGTCATGCGGACTCTCGTTCGGGCGCGCAAGTGGTGGCGTTGGAGGAAATGGTGCGTGGCGTTCGAGGAGGAGGAACGCAAGGGGGCAGGAGGAAAGCAGATGTCGCCAACACAACCACGGGCAAAACGGATGAAGGAAGAACGGCAGTCGGGGAATTTGAAGTGTGATGGACAAGGAGAATGCGCGGGCGTATCTGAAGATGTGCACTCGGCCAAGGGTGTGACACTGGGAGGAAGGGGGAGAAGCATCCAGAAGCATCCGAGTCCGAAGACGGCTCCGAGGAGGCCTGGTCGCATAAGGGTTAGATGTATTCGTTTTTCAAGCGAGTGATGTTTCTAACTGTACGCAACATGTGCAGAAAACAGTGACTCTGGGCTCATGAATGTACTCGAATAAAAAGATATGATGTTGTTGTCAATTGGTGGTGTGTTATTCTGTGCACATCTGCTTGACCAAAAAGGACACTTCCATCGCTTCTAAGGACCCAGAGGGCTTCTCAACCGCGTGCGTATTTGCTCAAGTCTTTATCACTTATCTTGTCTTCCTAAGCATCTAAAACATACGCGTAAGGATGTTGGGGTCACAAGTAGCAATGGGTTTTTTTTTTTTGTTTACTATCATTATGTATCTCCTAAGTCGACCTGTATTGCGTGTCATTGTGACGCATTGAAATTAGTTTGAAAATTTAGGAGCATAAAGATGTACCCCCATTGAACCTGACCACCGCTATTCCGCGTGGTACACTTCCAACTATGCAGATGCGGAACACGGTGCAGATGCGGAACATGGTGCGCGCGCGGAACACGGTGCACACGCGGAACACGGTGCACATGCAGAACATGACGCAGATGCGGAACACGGTGCAGATGCGGAACAAGGAGCAGATGCGGAACACGATGCAGATGGAACATGATGTAGATGCGGAACACGTTGCAGATGCGGAAGAAGGTGCAGTTGCGGAACACGATGCAGATGCGGAACACGGTGCAGATGCGGAACAAGGTGCAGATGCGGAACACGATGCAGATGCGGAAGACGATGCAGATGCGGAACAAGGTGCAGATGCGGAACACGATGCAGATGCGGAACACGGTGCAGATGTGGAACAAGGTGTAGATGTGGAACACGATGCAGATGCGGAACACGATGCAGATGCGGAACACGGTGCAGATGCGGAACAAGTTGCAGATGCGGAACACGATGCAGATGCGGAACACGATGCAGATGCGGAACACGGTGCAGATGCGGAACAAGGTGCATATGGGGAACACGATGCAGATGCGGAACAAGGTGCAGATGCGGAACATGGTGCAGATGCCGGAACAAGGTGCATATGCGGAACACGATGCAGATGCGGAACACGGTGCAGATGCGGAACACGGTGCAGATGCGGAACACGGTGCAGTTGCGGAACACGATGCAGATGCGGAACACGGTGCAAATGCGGAACACGGTGCAGATGCGGAACACGGTGCAGTTGCGGAACACGACGCGGTTGCGAAACACGGTGCAGATGCATAACACGATGTCAAGACTTTTCATGGCTCGCCGAGCGGAACCCCCATCTCAGAAATTCTCTGTGGTTACACATCCATATTCAAACCCCAAGCATCTTTGGTGAGGATTTCTGTGGCTGTACTCGATTCAATATAACATGCCATGTAGCAACCTTTTACAGAGACAAACCACTATGCAACAAACAAAATAATGGAGGTGGTAAATCCGGTTAACACATCCCCAACACCAACCCCCTCTCCTTCCGCTTTCCCCCCCACACCCCCTCCCCCCTCTTCCTTCAGCATCCTTTCTTGCATTTGGGGCTTCACTATCTTTTGCTCCTCATCTTCCATTGCTCCTCGCTAAACCAGCGACTTTTCGATCCCAAAGCGTCCTTCAAGGCACCTCAAAAGTCCTCCCCACCCCCCTCCCCACTCTCCTTTGCTCCTCATCTTCCATTGCTCCTCGCTGGTCCAGCATCTTTCCGATCCCAGAGCGTTCTACCAGAGAGAACAGAGGAGAGGCGCTCAAAGAGGGTCCTGCAAGCAACATGAGAGGCAGGGGACAGGAAGCGAGATGCTGATTCCCTTGCTCCCTTGCTTGCTCCTCGCTGGTCCAGGATCTTTTCGATCCCAAAGCGTACGACCAGAGAGAACAGAGGAGAGGTGCTCAAACATCGTCCTGCAAGTAACACCACGTGGAGGGCGAGATTCAGTTTCGAGACGACTCAAACAAAAAGGTTTAGTGGAGAAAACGGACGAGAGGTGCTGCAAGGGGGTCCTGCAAGCAAGGAACTATCATGGACGCAAAGGAATTGGGAAGGGGGAATGGAAAATATTAGGAAGGGGGAGGGATGGGAAGAGGGGAAGTTCAGTGGAGCCAGTAGGGCCAGACAAGCAATGGCAACCACACGTTTACTCACCATGTGAGCGCTTGCTGCATTGAATCTCTGTCTTGAGAATTCTCAAGACGGATCTGATATTAGATAATTCTAAAAAAAGCAAGCAATGGTGCCCACATGTGTACTCACCATTACTGATATGTGATATGTGATATCTGATATGTGCCTGCTGCACGTTTGAGGTGACTCAAAGGCCACCTGACCTGGCCACCCTTACTTCTGAGGTGTCTAAATTGTCACCTAACCACACGCATACTCACCATGTGAGTGCCTGCTGCACATTTGAATCCATTTGAATGACAATCTGATCACTTGGATTTTAGTGCTAACCACACGTGTACTCACCACGTAAGAGCTTGCTGCACGTTTGGTCGATCCAAAGGCCACCTGGCCACCCTTCTGAGGCGCCTCACCTAATGACACGTACACAATGACACGTACACTCACCATGTGAGTGCTTGCTGCACTGAACGCTTGATCACCCGTGGCACCACCCCTCGAAAGAAACCTGGCAGGCCCTGCGACTGAGGGATGGGGGGGAGGGATAGCGAGTGCTTGCTGGTAATCGCTTCATTACCCGTGGCACCACCCCTCGAAAGAAACCCGGCAGGCCCTGGAACCGGGGGGGGGGGGGGGGGGGGGGAGGAGACAGGAGGAACGGAGGAGCAAGAGGGGAAGCAGGAAGCAGCGGGAGGAGGGGAAGGAGGGGAAGGAGGGGAGGAATAGTGAGTGCTTGCTGATTAATGGCTTCATTACACGTGGCACCACCCCTCCAAGGAGCGCACACAAGATGTGCACTTTCCAGATTATTAAGTGCACACAAGATGTGCACTACTTTGGTTAAGAAGTGCAAACAAGATATGCACATCTTCACTAAAAAGTGCACTCAAAGATGTGCACAAGGCTGGTGTCGATTCGTAAGTCTTCCACATGAGCGAACACTTCTGCAGCCTCACAAGTTTGCACCATGATCACTATGGCTGTCCCATGGTTGATCACCCCACATGCAACCTACCTTGTAGATCTTTTAGGCGCCTAAAAAAACGATTTTTGAAGCGCCTCAAAATCAAGCAAACACTTATGCAGCTTCACAAGTGTGCACCATGATTTTCATGATTGTTCCACGGCTGCTCACCTGCATGCAACCTACCTTGTTAATGGCTGACGTGGCACCAAGCATGGTCAGGGGCTTGCCAGGTGTCTAGGGTCGCACAGTATGAAAATCTCATGAGTGTAACCAGATCTCGCGGTGCCCACATCACCCGAACCTCCCAGCGCCAAATTTGCAAGGCAGGCATGGCAGGCAGCAGGTGGTATGGTCCGGCATTAGGTTTTGGAAAGAGGATTCACTTTCAAAGCACATCGGGAAATAAGTGACGAGCAACATGGTCAGAATAATGAACAGAGGGATAAGGGTGCAAGTGGGTGCAAGTGGGTGGAAGTGGGAGCATCGCATGCATCTTACCAGCAAGGCTGCATGGGTTGTCCCCTGACCATGCCACGACTTGGCAGTTTGGGGGGAAGCCAAACTTGGAGCAGGAGGAAAGCAGATTGTTGGGGGGGAGGAGGGGGGACGGAAACAGGATCCCGAATGGTCGTCGCCTGACCATGTCACGACTTAGCCACTCGTTCAGCACCGCAACGCGGCCATTCGTTAGGCACCGAATATTCATTTCATGGTTAGCGGAGGAGCCTCAAAGACAACGCGCACATGCATGCACGCATACAAACACCGCACACACGCAGCACACACCGCACACGCACGCACCTGTCCACGTAGTACTGGTGCATACTGCCAACCACTTGGTGAGACAGAACCACCTCGACGAGCCTCTCTCGCAGGTTTGGCGTAGTGGCCCGTCAGGCTCAGTGGGGGGTGGGGGTGGGGGTGAGGGTGGGGGAGGGGTGGGCAAGTGGACATGTGGTAGGTCTTGATGAAATGCTTTACAAGACAAGGCACGATAGAAACATTTAGGTGACTTTTCAGACGCCTAAACAAACAAGTACCGGTAGATGAAAAGCACCTTTGACAAATAAGTTGAAATGCATAATATCGAATCTACAGATAGTGGCATAGAATAGATTAGGGCCAGCACCACGACAATGTGTCAGCAACAGAATCTCATATCATGATAAAACGGATGATTTTAATATGACATCGAGATGGCATCATTGCAGCAATTTGATTAAACCTCTTGTGCCACGTCAGCTCACCTCTAGTTCCCACTGTCCCGTCCGCAGATCAATGGGGGCATAATCTCCGACCAATAGCGATGCGCCAAACGAGCCCACTAGAAATATCCTCTCGGTGTTCTCATATTCCCGAGCCTGATGCTTCCACGCTCGCCGAACCTGAGGCCCGGTAAACCGCGCGTAGGCTTGGGAGCCCGTCAGCCAAGCCAAAGCTGCAGGCCCGCCAAGAGCTGCTTCGATTTCCCTACATTGGGCTGCTGTGCCTGTCCATCCAAATCGGAGAATCTAAAATAGAAAACACACTTTGCTGCAATGATGCATTGTCTTGAAACGAATCCACATGCACTGTCTCAAATGAAGAAGGCAGGAAGGAAGGTTAACGGGGGGAGGGAACGGGAGGGGATGGGGGGATAGGGGCGGGGTGGGAGGGGAGGAGGGGGCTTAGCGAGGGAATGGGCATGGGTGGGGGAAAGGGGGGAGGGTTTCAGGTAAGAAGGTGCAGGACGGTAATGTCAGCGTCATATTAGAGAAACTCAATCAGTAGCGGGTGTCCCTACGCCGGCAATCAAACCATGAGGTTCAGTTTGGTGCGAACCGAGCCTGCCTGGGATAGTTTCTGCCTAGTACACGCCCTAGCCTACGGCTCTAACGGAAACAAATGGTCTCGAACCCATTTCGTTAGACGCAAATGTTCTCCAACTCACTGCGTGGAGCTATCGTAGCCGAGAAACAGGCCGAGAAACAGGTCGAGAAACAAGCCGTCCAGACCCAACAATGCCGACACAGCTACTGTCAAACTTATATGCTATAGCTTGTTTAGGCTGTAGTGGGGTAGTCAATATGGGGTACAACACTTTAGTGTTTCACTACTTGTTCCCAACTTTCTGCTAGTTCAACCATTCCTGTTTCTTTCATTTTAACATGGTTTCAGAGCAGGTCCTCCGCTAGGACCGATTTTTTTAGGGCCCACCACTACTGACTGCCTACTAGCGCCCTCGTGCGCCCTACTGTCGGAGCGCCCTCGAGCGCCTCCCCCCCAGCGCCCTCGTGCGCCCCTCCTTAGCGGCCCTGTAAGGCCCCGCGACCCGCGACCCGCCCCTTAGCGGCCCCGTCGGCCCCGCGAGCTGCCCCTTAGCGGCCCCTTACGGCCCCGTCGACCCTGCGCGCCGCCCCTTAGCGGCCCCTCATGGCCCCGTCGACCCCGCGCGCCGCCCCTTAGCGGCCCCTTATGGCCCCGTCGACCCCGCGTGCCGCCCCTTAGCGGCCCCTCACGACCCCGTCGACCCCGCGCGCAGCCCCTTAGCGGCCCCTTACGGCCCCGTCGACCCCGCGCGCCGCCCCTTAGCGGCCCCTTACGGCCCCGTCGACCCCACGCGCCGCCCCTTAGTGGCCCCTCTCGGCCCCGTCGACCCCGCACGCGCCCCACCTAGAGGCCCCGTCGGCCCCGTCGACCCCGCGCGCGCCCCACCTAGCAGCCCCGGCAGCCCCGCACGCGACAGCCACGGCCCCGCCAGAACCGAGCCGCCCGAACCGAGCCGCCCGAACCGAGCCGCCCAGCCCGAGCCGAGCCGCGCCGCCCGAACCGAGCCGCGCAGCCCTCCCCGTACTGAGCAGCCCCCTCTGGACCGAGCCGCCCTACCTGAGTCGTGCTGCCTACTGCTTTTAGGGTTTTGCCTGCTGCTACTACTGCTGCTGTTACTACTGCTCTTCCTACTA